CTGAGAAGGTACTGTTTAGAAAAACAATGACAGTTGTACAAAAATGTCTTAAAAATGTTTGTGTCCATTAATTCCATAAATAAATAGTCAAATCTTATAGGTGTTACAGCCATTACCGTTTAGGAAAATAATGACATTTGTATAAAAATGTCAGTTAAAGATGTTTTTAAGCATGTTTCAAGAGTAAATAGCCCTTTTTAACTATTAAAGCCATGTATATTAAATTATAAACTTTTACACTTTGAAAAAATGTAATACTGAGAAGTATTATTACTTACTGTTTAGGAAAATAATGACATTTGTACAAAAATTTCAGTAAATAGATGTTTTTTAAACATATTTAATTTAAAAATAGTATATTGCAACTATTACAGCTATATTAGCTCCTAAAAATCAACATTTTGGAAAAGCTAATACTGAGAAGTATTATTAGGTACTGTTTAGGAAAACAATGACAGTTGTATAAAAATATCTTAAAATATGTTTTTAACCATTAATTCCATAAATAAATAGTCTACTTTAAGTTCAAGTAACAAATCTTATAGGTGTTACTTTTTAGGAAAATAATGACATTTGTATAAAAATGTCAGTAAAATATTTTTTTATCCATGTTCCATAAATAAATGGCCGTTGCTAGTCGTCCGTATATTCGGACGATTAATATATTTTATTCATCCGATGATCGGACGATTAGACAAGTCGAAAGGCCGTTGCTAGTCGTCCGATCATCGGATGAATAAAATATATTAATCGTCCGTATATTCGGACGATTAATATATTTTATTCACCCGATGATCGGACGATTAGACAAGTCGAAAGGCCGTTGCTAGTCGTCCGTATAATCGGACGAATAAAATATATTAATCGTCCGGTAATAACATAAATAAATAATAAAAAGATTATCGGACTCAAACTCAACAACACAACCCAACCGACCCCGCCCCATTGCCCCCCCCCGCCCCATTGCCCCCCCCCCGCCCCATTGAACAAAAAACCCAACTAAAATGGGCAAATTTATGTTACGATAAAAATAAAACACTTTTTAACAAAGCAACAACAAATTTATGAAATAAAAAAAGTTCGACAACTTCTAGTAGATTTTATGTTACGATAAAACTAAAACAAACCAACCAACCCAACCCAACTGAACACTGTTTAACAAAGAAACAACAAATTTATGAAATAAAAAAATAAAAAAAATTTGACAGCTTCTTAGTATCGAACCCGGGACCTCTCGCATGACAAGCGAACGCCCTACCATATAAGCTATCTAGCTTGTTGTCAAATATTAAACGGTCGGTGAACAAAAGCGAATTATAATTATGACGTAACTAACGTTATCTTATTACCGGACGAATAATATATATTAGTCGTCCGTATGTTCGGACGATTAATATATTTTATTCATCCGATGATCGGACGATTAGACAAGTCGTAAATAAATAGCTCCTCGCAGGCTTTGAGCACAATTCCGCGCGCCCTATTGTATTATTTTGAAATGTAAATAAAAAAATGTTAAAAAACTATATCAATAAATTTTATTGTATATGTATAAATACACATTACTTCCACACACTATTAAATTAGGAATGTAGCAACAATGTACTCGAATGACATGACAATTAGAGCACTTTTCTAAATCACATCAACTTTTTTTTTATCAAATTATTTGTCACCGTCATTAAGCGGGCAATTATCCGAAATGGACAGATGTTAATTGTCATCTAAAAATAAGTCGTCGAGGCCTTGAGGGCTTTAAAAGTCAAGTACTTGCTATAAAAATATTTTTATTATACTTGGATATTATAGAACCGCACATCTAAATTTATTACGAATTTTGAAGCACCTCCAGCATCGCTATATTTCCGAATAAAAATAGAAACCTATTTTCGGTGCCTATGCATTATTATTATGTCTGAAAGCTTTTGAATAATTAAAAAAAATCAATTTGTGACATCCTACATGCATTCCAAATTTCGAAAATTATACCATATACCTACATGCAGTGTGGGTTTCAGACTTTCTATTTGCTCGTATCATCTTCTTCAATAAATTTGAATTAGACGCCTAATTGTTAACTTCTTTCTCATCGCAATTTCAATTGTATCAACATTTTTTTTAACAATAACACACCGGTTGTTCACCTCGCCATACGCTCAATCCCATTGTTATTAATTCGCTTTAATTTTAAATTTTTGCAAATCATTATTTATTTATATTAAAATCGAGCCTTACATGGCACATAATGCCGTTTTGTTCTTTATAATTGAATTTTCGAACACAAAGGCCTGATATCTACACTAGTTAGCAGCCAAATACTTTTTCAAACACCCTATGTATGTTCGGATGTAGGTGGGCAACCCAGATTACAAATCGATAACATTGCGACCCTTCAATTTAAATTAATAAGTAAGAAGTAAGAAAGTTGAGTTTCAAATGCCAAAAAAGTATAATAAACCTTATTGTTGGAGATCAATTAAAATAATTTAAGATCCAGCTCATGCCCTCGTTCGGAAAAAAAATTATGTGATTCATTTTTAGTCATGCAAACTGAAATTACATGATTGATAATGATAGCCTTAAACTATAGGTAATGAATCTAATGTTTAATTCATTGCAATTATTCTTGAATTTGTTAGTGAATCACAATGCATCTACAGGTGTTAATTAATTGATGGTTATAATATTTCGTTTGTTGTTTGTTTCTTTCTGGTCGTCGTAAATAATATCTTGTAGCGGTAAATCTGACATTAATTAAAATAAAAATGGACTTTTTTAATTTTATAAAAAACGTTTGACAAAATATAAATAGCCAAGTAGATAAAACGTTAGTTCGTATCAGCAATCTATAAAAGCCAAGCGAGCAGTACCAAAGGCATTCTAGTAGTGAATGTTTAGCTGAAAACGGTAGTTTGAAAAAAATTATGCACCTCTATGTTAACTGTAAACATGAAATGTATATTTATTTAACCAGAGGAAATGCTATTACGCCATTTTTAACGAACTACTACTCGGAAAAAGCTATTTTAATGTCAGCATCATTGTGAAAATAAATATTTTGCGCGGTACTTTTATTTATTCAAATAATAACAAAGATAAATAGAATAATTCGTAATATCCTTAGGATTTATTAAATGGACACACAAGAAAAATTCGGTCAGCTTGATTACACGGACAATTTCGGTTAATTAACCAATCTTTTTTAACGAGAACCACTTTACTCCACTTGTTATGTAAACAAGAAGACAATTTAAAGGTTTTTAGGATTTTGACATTAATGGTCCCGGTCCACAATTGTCACAGTGGTTGGTTAACCCTTTACGATAAGACCAGTAGTGAAATTTTTTTATCCAATAGGCATTTGTCGATTATTCCAAATAAGGCTAATAAATAGGTTCGCCTAGAATCCAGTCATGCTCTAGTGGCTAACATTCACAAGTCCTTAGGAAATATGATTTAAAACATCATTAGCTTACGAAATGTGTGTACATATGTAAAAAAAATGATGCGGAAATTTCGGTGCCGAAACGTCTACCATTAACAAATGTAATTTGAAATTAAATATTTATAAACTAAACCTGTTTTTTACGACCGTAAATAACATGTATGTATGTACCTACGTAACGGCTTGGGTGTGGCTTAAGCTAATTTATTTAGATTAGAATTAATATTTGATTAATTAATTACTCCGAAATCAGAGCCATAATAACTGTTAATTACCACTCGTTAACGTAATTAATTTTTTTGTCGTCAATAAAACATTTACGTCCAATGACGATCTATTTACGTTTAATTCAATAACGTTAGAGCTATTACAATTAAATACCTATTTGTTCTTGAAAAATGTAAATCGCTATTGTGTCCGCATTTTCCAAATGCGATGGTCAGTAATTAAAAGCGTTTGTTCCATTGGCTGAAGAAAATGTTTTCCCACTACGCTAAGCGTAAAATTAGTGACCGCACACTAGATCTAAATCGCTTAATTTTGTTTATTACCTCTAGCAGAAAAAATCCCTTCATTATTTAGTCTTCTTGCTTTTCATTTTAATCAATGATCTTTTTCTATTTTTCGGTTTTGTTAGTTTTAGTTTACATGAAATCAAAGTATTGAATAAATATTTTTTATGAACAAATAAAAACTCTTTCAGCGCATATGGTAATGAGTAACATCTGGGCACTGTGATGTTAATGGGTTTCTTTAATAATTCTGTACCACCCTAACAGAGTGTAACACTTGTAATATAAACAAACCCCTTATTATGTTCAAAGAAGCAACAGGTTTTTTCAATGGTAATTATTACGTAATTAAGTGAGAAAAAAAGAGTCAAGGTTACTTGAATATTGCAAGATAAAAAATTTGAATAAATAATTCTTAAAAACCAAACAGGTGTCTATCTATCTATTATTCAATAATCAAACACATAAATTACAACGAATTAGTTGTTGGTCTTAATTTATCATTTATTTAATTTACAAAGTTTCTCACAGGAAAACCCATTAGATAATCTTGTGGGAAAATGATGTTGTCGAAATTATCAGATTCTCATAATTAACCTCGAACAATACCGCAAATGGTTCAAATCTGTTTTTAGCATACTTGACGTTTGGCAAAACTTCTTTCTTCAAACAGAAATCCTAAATTGATTTATGGTAAAATGATAAACATTGAGAAAAAAATTCTTGAAAATGCATAGTAAACAATGATGCACGTTTTTCAGTTAATTGAGGTGGTACTCTTGAGGACACGTACAGCCAGGTAACCAATGACAAGGCCAAATTAGTTATATACGTGATATTACAATGATAAAATTTATTTGGCGTTTTGAACCACCCAGAAATAATTTTCGAAATTCAGTTTGTGCTAAAATATCGTACGATCGAGATGCGCTTGGTGAGGTAATTGTTTCAAGGTTTACCAGGAAAATATTTATTATTTCTAATGGTTAAATATTTATACTGTCATGAGAATATAACTATAATAGTGTTTTCGCTTGTTTCAGAATCAAAATGGTGACAGAATGACAAGCATTTTAAAGCTAAACCAAGACTGATAAGAAAATTTCCAAGATGCCTTCAATCACCGAACACAGTGCCTTTAGATGCCTTAATTTAGTGCTAGCCTTCATTTTACCGAGTCTAAGCCTGTGCTGGCTTCCCGACACGACCACGAAATTGGTGAACAATCACAAGCAACTGTCGAGCATTAGTTTTTTGGGCAACAGCAACGCCAGTGATCATTTCGTTGTCTTGTATCAAGACAAGCAGTCCATATTACTTGGCGGGATGAATCGAGTGTACAATTTATCCATATACGATTTGACTGAAAGACCGGAATCGAACATATTCTGGAACTCTTCCGATGCCCACGAACAATTGTGCATCCTCAAAGGAAAAACCGACAGCGATTGCCAAAACTACATCAGAATTTTATTCAGGACATCGGACACCGAAGATAAGTTCATAGTGTGCGGCACAAACTCATACAAGCCGCTCTGCAGAAATTACAGCCGAAAGGTAAGCTTAATTCAAAGGTTACATTTGTTAAAACGAAGACGATTTTCTTCCCGAGGCTTGACAAAAAAGTCATGGCGAAGGTGCGTCGACGATTTAAACAATTGTCGGCATATAATCGGATCGTGCAATAGGATTTTTCAAACAAGGTTTTTTCTTATTTTTTTAGTAAATTTTTCATACATATTACTAAAAATATGTTTATTTATTTATAATAAAACAACATTTTTAGTGCCTCAAAGAATTATTCCGAATTGATAATTAAAAAAAAAATGTTTTGCACCGGGTATCGAACCCGGTACCCCTCGCATGCTAACCGGGCGCTCTACCACCTGAGCTTTGCTGCCTGTTTCAATACTTAATGCTCGATAGCGACTAGACGCATTTAATACCCACTATTTAAACCTATGTATAATCGAAAAGAACTTCAAAAATAAAAAAAGTAGGTACTTTAAACTTGTGGAAAAATAGTTTAAATAAATACAAATATGTACAGTAGCGCGGTGTAATTTGTGGCCATAAACCGAGTAATTTTTCCGTTTTATAGCTCAGACTCGTAACTGTAAACCTTTCTTCAACACAAATGACACTTAATAATAATAATTCACTTTAAACGTAATTATGCAACAGTACTTCTCTATATTTATCTTCAGTTAATGTTTAAAACAATGGCGTATACTTTTTAAATCACAACATCAAATTTTTTCGATAAAAAAATAGATTTATTATTTATTATTCTCCGACTGTACGCCCCTGTAAAACCTAAACAATGGTAAATTAGTTATGTAATGTTTGAACAAGCTCATCATTTCTGTGTTGTTTAAAAACGTGCCTTAAACCGATCCTTATTCAAATAAGAAAAATGCATTGCCCTTATCACTTGTTTTATTGTTTAAGAGCTGCACCCAAAACCTTAAAAGATTACCTATGTCGAAAACTACATAAAAAGACAGCTTAAATATAATCCTGGACACATTTCCGGTTTAAGAGGTTTTTTTTTGGAAAATACAGACGCTTAAAAATCCATTAGGTTTTTTATCTTTGAGGCATGTGTGGTCTACATTTTGTGGTAAAAATCTCTGATTCACGCGCATAAATTTGTGAGTGTCGGAATTGGGTTTTAAAAGCTGTGTGCAATATTAACATTTTCTTCTTTTTTTAATTATTCATTTTCTCTTGTTTTAATCTCAATTTGAATAGATTTACAAAGATGATGATGATACGCATTTATAATTGATTTCGAAAATGTTACAATAAATTCGATACTAACTTTCACTGTAAATGTCATCGTTTTAAGTAATATAAAATTATGCATCAAAAATAAGGTTAATTAATTCAATATGTTTTCACACAATTACTTACATTGGATCATCTTCACTTGTGTGGCAATAGCATTTTTTCCCCCATCATCTGACATTTAACAGTTGCTGATTAATATTATTTTATATTTATGCCCAGATATTATTGCAACACAACATTTTTAACCCTTATGCAGGCGCACCTCTTTATGCAACGTAGTAGGTCGCGCGGGGTGTCAGAGACACCCCTGATGGCAAAGCGTCCCTGAGTGTTATTTACATTTTTTTTTTGTTTTTTTTAAGGTTATCAAGTTAAGATGAGCTGAGAGACAATGAGAACATATTTCGTTGCGTTCAAATTTGATAAAAGATGACAAAAAAAAGAAAATGCCAAAAGACGACAATTTTAATCAAATAAAGCATTTATTTAAAAAAAAACAAATTTTAAAAGTCATAATAATAATAAAAACAAAAAAAACACTAAGCACTTAAGATAAGGTTTACTTTTACAAGTAATTATGATTTGGTAAAAAAAAGTCAATAGGGAGGCGAAACCCAGCCTGCTCACGGGGTGTCCACAGCACCCAGAGCCTGTTTAAAACAAAATACCAGACAACCTATTACATTAACTTCAAAATCGGCAATGTAATATGACTGAGAATACTTTGACAGGAAGGTACTGAAAGTAAGCGCCATTTATTCGAATCGAAGTGAGACCGGTAGCTATATTTAGGAAGCTGGGGTGTTTTGTACACCCCGCGTGCCTGCTTAAGGGTTAACGTTCGCGTCTATTTGTTAAATTGATGTCAAGATTTTTCGCATTCGGCAAAAATAATTTCACCAAATTTAAAGAGGAGATTTTATTCAAAAGTACCTACCTATTTTTGCAGGTATACTTTATTTATGACTACATGTACATGTCTCCATGACAAGTTGTGGCTTTATGGCGTTTTAGTCACGGGCTAAAGTTAAAATTAAGTGCCCTTCTTGTGAAATAATAATGTGGAAATTATTTTATTATCTCAATACAACAATAAAAAGTATAAAATAGTTTCTCAACGCCAATACCTATTTGAAAAGTTTTTATGCAAGTTTGTACTGACCTTTACAAATGTTAATTTTAAATTATTTTTGGGTAATAATATGTATTTGTCGTAGAAAAAGTATAGTATGCAACTCGTTTATAAACTTTTTTAGACACTTATTTAATTAAGACTATTATTTGTTAAACAGTTGACATCTGACAACTGTCACCTGGATTTAACCTTACTTTTTCCCAGTTTTTAATAAAGCAGCTTTATTAAAGCTAAAACGCCCGAAAGCAACAGCTTGTCGATGTGGGATTACTTAGATTAGTTATTTATGTCATTAGGTTAAGAAGTAAGGCTTTTTGTGCTAAGCTCAAGGTTTGAAGACCGACGCGTAGCGGAGGCCTACAATTGAGCGAAGCACAAAAAGGCACTTCTTGGCCGAATGGCATACAACATTTTATCTTCAAAGCACTTTATATAGGTCAATTTAATTCAAAATCAAAGCGGTCTAACATCACTTTTTTAGAATCTCATTTATTTATTAGCTAAAGATGACATTAAATGTACAATAATTATTATTGCTTTTAGAAGCAGTAATAGTTTGACAATACCTAGCCACATGATTTAAGTAGAAATGGATTTTTGCTATTACATTGAATTCAATTAATTGTTTAATAAATAGTTAGGTATCTAATTTCAATTTGTTTGGATTTTTATTTCAAAAATAGGTAGTTTGGAATGTTTAAGATGTGTTTAACATTTAATTTCACTGAAAACTTAAAGCAAATTTAAACTTAAAGATAATTTAAATCGTAGAAAAAGAATCGTGCGTTTTCTTGGTTGCCTAACCTCACTTTTTGTTTTATTATTCATATTTAATTTTACAATAATTTAATGAAAAATATTAAACATTAACAGTAAAACAAACAAATTAGTGCTTATTATAAATAAATTAAACCAGTTTAGTAAATAAATTAAACCAGTAACTAATTACTTGCCTCATAAAATTTTTTATCGGCCTAGGCCATAACAAGGTATTTCTTTATCGAATGTTGACAACAATAAAGTTTAAATTATAAACCGCGTGGAGATAAAAAAAATTATGTTAAATCTATAGGTTAAATGCACGTTAATTGTTAATATTAGTTATGCTGTAGGTATTGATTTCGTTATTGTTCAACAAATATGGGAGTACCTAGATAAAAAATTATCTTAAATCTATAACAAAATCTTAAACACTATTTATAATTGTTTTTTAATAGGCCATTGTTGTTATTTGGTGTAGTGTTTCAAAAAATTAACGCTAATTATAGTATAAACTTACTACTAATAGGTACCCACTCTCTATGGGTTAAAAACACGTTAATTGTTTTTATTAGTCATGCTGTAGGTATTGATTTCGTTATTGTTCAACAAAAAACAATGCAGACAATAATTCGAGCAATTTTATTAGATAGTAGCTTTTTATTCATTCAGTCTTTGGTCTTAATGCTGCGGTGACACATTCAAACAGTGTGGGCGGAAAATCCCGTTCTCGATTAGGAGATCGTTTTTAGAACTAAATTTACATAACACCGAACGTTTATTAGTTAACACTTTTTTCTCACGGACCAATTACATCGAATAAACAGTTTCAATATACCTAAGTAAACATCTTTAAATTAATTTCAAGCGATATCAATTAACTGTAGTTAAGTAGAAAAATAACTCTTTGATGTGTAAAATAAGTCCCCAGATTGCAAAACACCATGTCATGAATATTCTCAGGAATATTCCTGGCGTAATTTAATGACCGCTTGAATATTCAATGTATATGGAATATTCCATGTATATGACTTAAGTATTGTTAGGAGAATGTCCCTTAATATAATTTGGGGATTACTCCTAGCCCTTATGGCCACTTATACCCAGAAACTTAACTTAACTAGACATTATTAGTTACTGAGTCCCACTCTAATAATTGTTTTGCTGTGCCATCACAGACGCACATCTCCAACTGATATTTTTAACCTATCGGTATATATAGTTATCGAGCGTGCGTAAGCAACAGTGAGAGGTATTATAACTAAACTAATGAATATTCACTGGGAATGTTCTGGATGGTGTTTGGAAGTTTTAGAGGATCATTCTATGAAATATTCCAAATGAATATTTGAAACCTTCCAGTTACTAAATTGATTTTATTTCTTCCAGAATGGGAACTTCGCGATGGAAAAAGAGACTGAAGGCAAAGGGTTGTGCCCGTACGACCCCGAGCACAACAGCACGGCGATCTACAGCAACGACCACTTGTTCGCGGCGACGATGGCCGATTTTTCGGGAGGCGACCCCCTCATCTACCGAGACGGCACCAGCGGACTGAGAACGGAAATCTCCGACTTCAAGCAACTCAACGCTCCGAACTTTGTTAGCTCGCTGACCTACAACGACTACGTGTACTTTTTCTTCCGCGAAACGGCTGTGGAGTTCATGAATTGCGGAAAAGTCATCTACTCCAGAGTTGCGAGGGTTTGCAAGCACGACAAGGGTGGACCTAGATTGTTCAAGAACAGGTGGACCACCTTCCTGAAGGCAAGACTCAACTGCTCCGTACCTGGAGAGTACCCATTCTATTTCGACGAAATACGTAAGTTTAAATTTTTGATCCGTTCTCATGTTCTAATGTGATATATCTTCGGTAGAATCCACAAGCGAGGTGATAGAGGGTAACTACGGTTCAAACGCCAGAAGTAAAGTTGTGTATGGTGCTCTAACAACCCCCAACAACGCTATAAGCGGTTCCGCCATCTGCCTCTACCAAATGGAAGACATGAATAAAGTTTTCCAAGGTGCTTTCAAACAACAAGACAGTATTAACTCCAATTGGTTACCAGTTCCTCAGGATAAAGTGCCCACCACTCCAAGACCTGGAGAATGCGTTCAGGACAGCAGGATTCTGCAGGATGCCAATGTTAATTTCATCAAAACGCATTCTCTCATGGAGGAGGCAGTTCCAGCTCTATTTGGAAGGCCTATTCTCATCAAAGTCAGCCTGCACTACAGGTTCACCAGCGTCACAGTGGATCCGCAAGTCCCCACGGATAATAACAGATACTTCTTCGATGTCTTATACATTGGAACAGGTGAATACCTCCATATTATTTATTTTTTATCCAAACCTAATTTTGATTCCTGATGCAATCTTAAATTAAAGATTTCATCATCTACTGTAGTAGAGGATGCTATTTGAAAAAAAAAGTAAGAAGGCAAAGATATAAATAAATGAAAACCCCATCACGAATACCAATTGAATGGGGATACTACTAAGGCCTAGGTTGAGGGGGATTCCGGATTGTACTTAGTTTTGGGTCAGTTCAATGTCCTCCAAAAACCCTTCCTAAACTGGACGTATGGCCCGACCCGGCTGACAAAAATCCGGGAGCGGCCTTAACCTTTGACACTGTCATCCACAACCTCCTAGGGTGGAACTACCAGCCGGCGTAAAAACTTCGGATCCAACAAACACAGGTAATGCTGTGATTTGGCGGGATACGCAGGAGAACGGAAAGGGGGTAAAATAACCCCGGGAGATTAGTGGATGACAATATATCTGGGGCCTGCCATACGTTCCCATACTCATACTCATGCTATTTGTTCTAAGACCTTATTTAGCGCATTAAAACTTAACATTTGCGTTCTTTTTCAGACGACGGTAAGATCATAAAGGCCGTGAACATCCCGAGCGAGGATTCGGCTAAAGGATTCGTGATCTCGGAGAACGAGGTGTTCCCGCTCGGCTCGGCCGTGAAGCAGCTGAAGCTCGCGCCCGGCTACGGCCGAGTGGTGGCGGTGAGCGAGGGCGAAGTGAAGCTGGTCACGCTGAACCACTGCGCGAGCGCGAGCCACTGCGCCGGCTGCGTGGAACTGCGCGACCCGCACTGCGCGTGGGACACGAAGCACGGCGCGTGCGTCAGCGTCGACGCGGTGACGTCGCGACGCTTTTTGATACAGGACGTGCGGTACGGCGAGGTTGCCAGGTGTCGCAATCGGGCGGTCGACAACGACGTCGCGCCCAAAGTCGAGGTTACGTTGAGCGAGGGCCGAGGCGAGAATGTCGACAAGGAGGATCCGCTCTTGATCGACGGCACTTTGGACGATGGGTGCAACGAAGTGGGCGGCGATAGCAAGATCAGGGGGTGCGCGGTGCAGAACCGACTCAACATGTACACCTCCGAGTATCTGCACATTTTCGTCGCCACCGCCAGCTTGGCGGGGCTTTTCGTGGGGTTTTTGTGCGGGTACTTTGTCTCGCGGCGATTTCAGAATCAGCCTCAATACCCCAATTCGGCGTTTATTGAACAGCACAATCATTTAGACAGGTAAGACGTTCACTCTTAGTACTTTTGTACTAGATCCAGTCCTAAAATTGATTTTTTAGTACGTTAGTACTTTTTATAGTTGAATAATATTCTCAAAATTGGAAAAAGGAATTAAAACCAAAATAATTTTGGTAACAATGCAAACTTCATGTCAGTGACATGTTAGTAAAATTTCCCACAGATGGCAGCATCAAAAATGTACAATCACCTTCTTTATCTCTGTCAAGGTGGAAGAAGGAGGTGATACATCTTTATCCCCGAAAGCGGCCAAATAACTCAGTATTTGTTAAAATTTTCAATAGATGGCGCATTGACGTGGAACCTGTTTTAATTCCGGTACACAACAATTTTTTTCCATTTTTATTAAAATTGCATAGATTAACTTCAAAGAATAGACCACTAAGCTTAATTAAAATTCAAATAAAACCATTTCAACGTCACTTTTGTGCATTTGTGATGACTGTGCATTTTGGCAGAACAGTTGGCAATACTACAGTATTGCCAATCGTTCTGCAAATTATTTTAATAATGCTGTAAGAATAGATGTAAGGAGGGTAGAAGACTCTCCTTTTCTTTATCTTATAATTTGTTGTTAAAAGTTAAGTTGTTATAAAATATATGGATTTCGTTGGTAAAACCTTAGTTTCTTAGTTGACTCGCCATCTAACGAACAACGAACGAAATACTGACTTATCTGGACGCTTGCTTCTGTACTGTAGAGATAGGAGCTATATCACCTTCTTCCACCCTGATCTCTGTCACAGGCTTCTTTTAAAATATAAGACAAGGCAGTTCTCAAGGTATGTTTCTCCTAGAGACGAATTTATGTTTTTGTACCACGATGTTAAATTTATAAAAGGTACAATATTTATATATACAGTATGTCTCAGTATCTTGGAATCATATGGAAAACTTTTTTATTATTAATTTTAGGAAAAAAAGTTATTCTTTATAAAAAGTTCTGCATGGTGTAAAACTTAAAATGCAACTCACAAATATTATTTTTTTTTAGTCGTATACGGGGTGTGTCAAAAAATATGAATTTGGCTCAAGAGTAAAGTACCTTTATATTTGACAATATCGAAAATTGTTATAAAGAAAAGTTAATCAGAACTAAAAACTACGTTCAAATATGCAATTACATCCATTTACATTAAAAAAAAAATATTTTTTCTTTTTTGTCTACAATATCAATGCAAATTTAACTGTAACATGTAATCTAGGATTCACTGATAAACAAATGATTTGTTGATATTCTAAAACTTTTTGGCCTGCTAGATCCCCTGACTTAACTTAAGGTTTTCATGTTTTTTGTAATCATAACAGATAAATGTTCATTTAAAATAGAAAGATTAGTAAAAATTAACAAAACCTAATTTTTTAATGTAAATGTATGAAATTGCATATTTAAACGTAGTTTTTAGTTCTGATTAACTTTTCTTTATAACAATTTTTGATATTGTCAAATATAAAGGTACTTTACTCTTGCGCCAAATTCATATTTTTTGACATACCTCGTATACGACTAAAAAAAAATTATATTTGTGGGTTGAATTTTAAGTTTTACACCATGCAGAACTTTTTATGAAGAATAACTTTTTTTCCTAAAATTAATAATAAAAAAGTTTTCCATATGATTCCAAGATACTGAGACATACTGTATATATAAAAACGAATCGCCGTGCGTAAGTCCTGCTTGTTTTGTTTTGTTCTCCTCAATACAGGGGTGATTTAAATAAAAAAAAAATACATTAGGAAAAACCGAAGGGAACAGCCGGACAATCGAAAAAATCGTACAACTTTGGATTAATTTGAATAGATGGCGTTCGTAGCTGCGCTTCAGATTAAATGAAAAAACATAACCACAAATTCATGCATTCAATTGTTTTAGCGAGAAATTAGTTTAAATAGTAAAGTTTTCAAAGTAAGTTTGACAGATTTGAGCGACTGAAAACAATTCCGTGTCGTTTTACAGTGTTCAATGAATTGGAATCCATTTTGGTGTAATTTATTGACTATGGTGTGATTTTTTAACATTTTTTAATGCGGTGTAATTTGGGTTTTATTTTTGACGAATCAACTTTTATTCAATTAAAGTTTTGATTATAACATAATTTATTATGCCGTTTTGTAAAAAGGGGAATCCCTGATATAATATCATGTATGTATTATTAGATTTATATGGGTAAAGAAGTGGCCACGCCCCTCGGAATCTTCCTTTTCGTTCTAACCAGTGTTTTTAACGCTGCAAAGCGGTTATGCGTAAGTACCATCATTAAGTGCAATGATATATATTTTATCATTGTGTAAAATATTGTCTGGTTGTGTTTTTTTTTTCAAAAATTTAATTTATACTTCATGTTATGTATTTTTTAACTTGGTTTTGTTCACCCCCTTTTAGTTCTCTGTCAAATAGTTGTTTTAAATATGTGTTATTTATTCAATATTCGTATTCCAAAACCAAATATATGACTTACTGGTGCTGCCATCTGTGACCAATTTCTCCAATATAACATTTAGTACAATCTAGTACGAAAGTGGCAACACTTTGATGTCAAAACTAACGTGTATATTTTTTTCAGAAGCGTGAATCAGAACAGTTTTTTAGCTTCGAGGAAGCAGGTTAATCTAGTCCTGAACGTGTCGAATAGCGAGTCCTTCGACACGCTGCCCCCGAAAAAGGACAATTTGGGTTCGACGAAGAATTTGAACATCACGAACGAAGGAACGTTGCAGAAGATCAAGAAGACTTACATATGAAGAATATTTGTACCTGTAAAAACAGACTGTAGATGTCGCTGATGACTCGAATGAATTAAAGGTACTATTCTTTTGTTGCCAGGTCCGATTTATCGTTGCCTTTAATATGTTTGACTCGCTGAAATGATCAATTCGATTTTTAGTTTGTATTATAGCGAAATACTTTGAAGCTCAATGTACATTTTATTGATTATCGTATAGAAGAGATCACACAAATATAATTATTTTTACCTGTTAGTTTTGTAAAAAATAAAATAAATATGGATGAACAAACTGGTGCAGTTAATAGTACTACTGGGCGTACTAAATATTATTTAGGGTACGGTCTCTTATATACTTCTGTACATTTCTTAATTTTAGCTTTACTTTAGGAATTTAGTATCTATTATTGTGATATATTATTATACATGAGAGGCTTATTTTTGACTTAAATAGCCCGAAAAAGCTCTATGATCACCGTTTTAAAATGTATTATTAAATATTCAATTACATTGCCCATTTTGTTGCGTAAAAGTATTAATTTTTATAAACCATTTTAAACAAGTGATTTTTTATAAAAAAATAGTGATGAATCTGTGAAAATGTTTAATTTCATAGTACAAACCCGCCACAAAATTTTATATTTACTTATAGTATTGTAAAACATTTTTACATTTTCATCTTGCAATTATTAATGATGTATTTTCGATAAAAAAAATTCCACATTATATCATATTTAACGCTATTTGATCTCATTTTACATAATATTTTTCCACACAACACAATTAAATTTGTAATCATTGAAAGTACATCTTTAATTTTAATTAAAAATGTCAATTTTACAAATTTTTAATATGTAATAGATGGTATAATTTTTGTTAGCATATAATTAATTGTAATGTTACTGTAAGGTGTCAAATTAAAAAAAAACATCCTGTTTATTTTTGTAAATGTATAAATTTGTAAATATTCTTAAAAAATAATTTTTAAATAAAATTTGTATAGTTAATATTGTCTTTTAATTAATTATCCCTTATTTCAGTATAAGTATTCGATTTTTTTTTAATTTCCAATAGCTTGGCGAAATTTCGCGCAACAATTTTACTACAATTAATATAAAAAATTATAATTATTTGCATTTTACGGCAAAACGGTTAAATAATAATATTTTTATAGGAAATTCAACTTCCTATAAAAAAGATCTAATGGATTATTGCAATAAAATGCATAGTTTAAAAGATATAAAGCATTTAATAAATTTTAGTGTCAAATATTGATAAATTAATTGTCATATGTTGTTTTGCGACAAAACGGTTAAAGTTTAAAGAATTTAAAAAAAAATTTAATTTCTTACAAATCTTATGGATGCAATAAAATGCATAGTTTAAAAGAAATAAAAAAAATAGTATATTATGTATCAAGTTTGATAAACGCCATTTTATACACGAATTTAATTTAGGCACGAGCGAGCTTGCGAGAGAGTGCTTAAATTAATGAGTGTATAGAAAAGTTTATAAACGAGGTGCATACTATACTTTTTTTACGACAAATACTTATTATTATCTTAAAATGATTTAAATCAAAAATTTGTATAGAGCGCCATCTATGAAACAATAGGGGAACCTGTGTGTCACCGTCAAATGTCAAATTTTTTTATTTTATAAACACAGATTATGAAGGTTATAAATCGAAATGTATTTATTGAAAATTGACAGTTTTTCACAGTGAAAGTAAAAAAAATGTTTTATGAGCACTTTACAGTGGAGTCCGTGTCCGAATTTAAGTTATTAGTAGTTTACTGCCGGCGAAATTAAAAGGTCAGTACAATGTTCATATAAACTTTTCAAATATTGGCGTTGAGAAACTATTTAATACTTTTGTATTGAGATAATAAAATAATTTTCACATTTAGTAATAATTTACAAGAAAGGCAATTTATTTTAACGATTGTATGACATTTGCAAAGTTGTCAACTAACTTCAGCCCGTGACTAAAAACCTGTGGCTAACTTACACAATAACAACCGAACTGTCAGTAACCAATGATAACCTAATAACCGATTTTAAATAAATTTAAAAGTTTGCATACCTGTTTCTTTTTTGCTTGGATTAATAATATCATTGTTTTTAGAGGTTAAAACAATGTTGATATAAGAAAGCAATAAACCAATCAAAGCACGGCATTTTCCACAGCACACTACATGCGCTGTTGGTAATTGGTTTATGGAAAGTAATTTATTAAAAAAACCAGTAGTGACACTAAAGCGTAAAAATAATAAAACAAAGTAATATAAAAATGATTTTTATTAAAAATGTAAATATAAAAAATAGGTTTTATAATTCAACATTTTTACGATGAAAAAATTGCAGTGTAGTAGACATATATTGAATTTGTATGTATATAATTTTTATTCTGCGATATTATAGTGCGTTAAAATGTGTTGTAAAACAAAATTTAAAAAAATAATAATTTCATTGGTTTACCCTTCTTTAAAACCTAGTGTAAATGGACGGATTTCATAACACAATCAATATTTACAAAAATACCTGCTTTGGTGAGGTAAAAAAATAATCATTTACAGGTACCTAACACGAAAATCTCTAACTACTAATGGACAACGGCAGTTAAAATCACACTAACCTTAAATTATTGTACATACTAAGGCAAACGGTAATAGCTATTACTAAGAAACTTATGGATATGTCTGTGGCTGAACTCCTATAATACCGTGGATTGCCTGAAATGAAAAATAAATAAATTCTACAACTAAAATAAAGAAAAATATTTACATACCCATTTGAAAGGTCCACTCGGGAGAGCTCATTCTACCATCACCTCCGTTGGAGTAAGCCAAAACACGAAGTTTGTAGGTTTTACCCGGGGTTAAATTGTACACATAGCCCTCCAATTCCGCTCCGAACGGTATAATTGTGTCATTTGCTGTCGCCAAGTCTTGGTCGGCCTCCCATACACGAATCTAAGTTTAAAAATGTTTTCAGTTTAGTGGTTATTTCAGCGAGTCAACCGAAAAATTGTACCTTGTAGCCTTGTAGGGGTTCTTCCTCCAAAGAAGGTTGCACGTATCGCCACACGACTTTGACGGTAGAAGGATCCTTGGGATACACAAATACAGATGATGGGGGCTTTTGTGGCGCCTTTCTGTATGTACGTTCTAAAATACGAAAAAAAATCATACTTGAAGCACCTCTAGCAATGCTGTTGTCAAGAGACTGAAATCGAAAGGCTGCTTCTTTGTAAAAGCAGATAAAGGTAACAGAGTAGTTGTGTTAGACAAAAATGCAGGCTAGTTTTAACTTTATTGTTCGTAGGTTGATAAACTTTCCACTTAGTAACAGTAGATACAAAAAAGGGCTCAGTTTTATAAAAGCATTGCTAGAGACAATGGTTTTAAACCCACACTAGTAGATAAGTTAGTAATTACAATTAAATTTAGGTCTCGCCTTTCTAAAGTCTATTCAAATCCAAGCTGGACTAAACAAAAACGCCCAGACGCGTGATTACTCGTTTCTATTGGTCGATTCTGATGGTGTGACTCGGATTGTGAGCTCTTATTGGTCGATTCGGAGAACTGTGTTTACATTTAGTCCAGCTTGGAATTGAATAGACTTAACGACTTTTTAAACAGAGCCCACAATAGCGAAGGGTATGATAGTACAGATCTGGAAGGGATTTTTCAAAAACTAGACTTCAAAATTGCGTTTAGTTCAAGCAGTAACTAATAATCTACGAAATAAACTGCGAAGATTATGACAAGAAATACGATCCATCCAAAGAGCACTTTGCCCATGCTAGATTTTGTAGGACAGAGAAATCGAGTGTTGCCCATCTTAAACCTATTAAGGAAGTTACAAGTCTGCTAGATAGCTACGGAAGTTTATACATCAGTAAGAAAAGAAATAAATCTTTAAATAGCGATAACTCTAGTTTGTATAAATTGGTTTGTTAGTTTCTCTTTACGTGTTCACTGAAGCGATTACGGTGTTGGGTAATATTTCTAATATTTGTTTAACACTAAAATCATCTTAAATTGATAAAAAACATACCCAAATATCTTTCACTTTCAGGTCCTTCACCGGCAGCATTGTACGCCATCACTTTGACAAAGTAGTAGGTGTCTGGTTGCAAGCCAACAATAAGAGCCCATGGTCTGGTCGTTCTTGATAAGTAGTACACACTGTCCTGTTCGTTGGTATCTTTTTTCCAGTACTTAAGCTGTGAAACAATTAATAAAGCTACGGACAAATGCATGGAACTTTTATCTTACCCTGTGTCCAATGAGCTTGCCTCTCACTTGCTCTCTGTCGGGCGATATCGGTACCCAGCTAACGTTGAGCGCTGTGGAGTTGTAGGATTTAGCGTAGACCAACTGCGGCGAAGGTTGCGGCATATCTTCAGCGGAGTAAATGACAACCTCGTGGCTTATGGGACCGGGTCCTATATCGTTGATAGCCTGTACTTTGACCACGTACTCAGTGTAGTAGAAAGCAATGGGGATGTGCACGACGGCTTTGCCGACTTGCCCGTACTCCTTGAGCACTTTGCTCTGGAATTCCGGCTCGAAGTCCTTGCGCTTCCAGAATATCTTGTAGTGGATGCCGTTGCCGTTTTGCTCTTCGGATCGCAGGGGTTCCCAGGTGATGGTGAGGTCGCCTATTTTGCCGCCGCCGCCGCCGATGTTTTTGGGCGCTACGAACGGTCTTTCCGGCGGCGTTGATCTTCGTGGGCTGGGCGCCGATGGCGGTCCAACGCCTAGGCTGTTAATGGCCGACACCCTGAACTCGTAGACGGACCAAGGCGTCAACCATTGGTTGTTGGTGTTTTCTATGACGGCTTCCTTACGGCCGGTGTACCTGTCGATCTCCCTTGCGCTTATACCTTCGGTTATGTTCACCCAAGTACTGTTCCAGTTGGTTCTGCCGCTGATCGTGTACAGCTGAATTAGCGAACCATGATTAGCGCCGTCGGTCCATTGCAGCGTCGTCGAGGTTTTTTGTATGTTGATCACTTCCACGCCGCCTGGCGGTCCAGGTGGACCTTCGATGATCACCATGGACTTGGAGAATATTTTTCCGACGGCCGATTTAACTATGCATTTGTATTCACCGGCGTCGGAAAACGTGTTGTTGATTATCCTCAAATAACCACCGTCTATTTTCAGTCGGTTGTAGGAATTTTTTACATCCAAATCCCTAATAACCATACCGTTATGGGTCCAGATGTAAGCAACGTCCAACATCTCATCCGTCACAGCATAGCACCTGAGATCGATATCCGAGCCCACAATTGTAACTATTCGAGGGTTTAGCTGTTCGACCAGTCTGGGCCCGCGCAACACAATCAACCTGCCCTTGGATTCATCCATCCCCAACTCATTATTGGCCCTGCACGTGTAAACCCCCTCATCGTCCCTGGATGCAGGGCTAATAAACAGATTACCATTCTCGTATATTTTTCTATGCCCGCCCGACCCTATAACATTCCCATCCTTGATCCAAGTGAACTTCGGCCTGGGCGCCGCCTCGGGGTTACATTTTAGCGTCACGTTACCCTGTTCGGCCGCGTAAGTCTCAGATTCCAACGGGGTCTTCTTGAAAGAAGGCTTAAACGCCAGCACCCTCAACTGCGCCGATGAATAGCGCGTCTTCAAAGTGTTAAACGCTCTGCATTGGTACATCCCCGGGTCCCTCTCATCGTCCAAATGACTGATCGTAAGCACGTTGTCCTGTATTTTAACCCTGCCTCTATCTTCAGGCTCCAAATAACCCATCACCAACTGCCTGCCGTTCTTCCACCAAGTGTAGTTCACGTCCGGTATGCCGAAAGCCTCGCACGTCCAAACCAGCTGGCCCTTTTTGTCGATGTGCTTGTCCGTTAAGGGTATGGTGAAGTTTGGCTCGGCCTGTATGTTTAATACAACACTGTGTTCGGCGCTCGACCGGTCGTTATACGCTCTGCAAATGTATTCGCCTTCATCTTCGACTTGCACTTTTGGGATGATGAGAACGCGGTTGTAGCTTTGGAAATACGCGCTTCTGGGGAGCACTCCGTCTTTTCTAGTCCAGTTGTAACTTGGCACAGGGCTAGAAAAAGTTTTTATTCATACTTAAAAGTAACTCAGTTACTCAAAAGTATCTTAGATACTTTCATATAGTATCTTAGATACTTTTTAAAGTATCTTGTAACTAAAGATACTTTCAACTTAAAGTATCTAGTTACCTAAAGTAATTAAGTTATTTTGTTTAAAGTATCTTAGAAAAGTAACTAGATACTTTTCAGAAGTAACTTTCCAAGCTCTGCTTTAGATTGCTAAAGAAGGTAAAATACTACAGAAGACGATATATTGAAGATTGGAAAGACTTACTATCCAAACGCGACACATTCCAATCTGACTTCCTTTCCAGCTGTGGGAGCTTCTGGGAAAGCCTTTGGAAAGTTATTTGGAAACTTAAGTTGCTGATAGTTGGCTGTAAAACGAACATTGATAAACACTGTTTAAGATCGCAAACATCCTACTTACAATGTGGATTGACTCTTAGAGGGAAAAAGGGTCCATTCTTTCCCGAAACCAAAATTGACGAGTGAACGCTACAACTATAATTAGCTCTGTCTATAGTTTCTAAAGCTGAGAAATATAGAGCACCATCGTTCGACACGAAAATCCTTTTGTCCTCTTCGACTAAATTCAGGTAGTAGTCACGAGACCACGAGTAACGAACCGAAGGGAAGTGGTTCGGGGGGTCGCAGTATATGGATTTGCCCCAATTTTGATCGCCGGCTTCGGGGGACCTCTTCAAAACGAACTCGCGAATGAAGCCGAAGTTGAGCTGCACACTTTCGGAAATGATCGTGCCAAAAGTGTTCGACGCTTTACAGTGGTAGGTGGCGTGGTCCATTCGCTCGTTGGGGCTGTGTATGATCAACATGCCGCCGCTAGTGGTGTACCTACCGTCCACCAGCGGGTCGATTTTCCTCGCGACTAGTCGGTCGTTTTCGTAGTCCTCCCGGAACCATTCGTAGGTGGGAGTCGGGTAGCCGCCTGCAAAGCAATTCAGCGATATATCGTTGGACACGTTGTTTTTGGTGTCGTATGTGGAGTCCATGGGTTGCTTGATGAAGAAGGGGCCTCTCGGTATCCTCTCTGGATTCACTATGTCTATACCGTACGTGTAAGTGCGCTCGTCGTTGACCAATCGTTGCAGCGCTCTGATGTTTCCCTCGCATATGAACAACAAAGGTTCGTCGCCTCGAACGGGTTGGAAACCCCAGTGCATGTTTTTCTTCGAGAAACTGTACACCAAGTAATCTTTACCGTACGGCTCGTCGTTGTCCGGTAATATGGCGTTTTCGATGTTTATAAATTGTTTTCCATCTGGATTTGTGTAATAGTTGTGGGAAGTTTGGTATGCACCCACATACCATCTTCTGTGCGATGGGTCAATCCAGTTGAGATTGTTTATTAGAAAACCGTGTTCTTCAGGAGAGGTAATAGACACTAGATCTGAACCACCTTGGTCTTGAGAATAAGTCTGAAATAGTATATTTCCTCAGATAACGCTTAATGAAATATATTAGATAATCTAAAAATTATAACGCCAACGAACACCGAGCTCGGCTATAATATAGGCGCTTTCTCCGCCTGTTGGATAGCGTACTATTTTTTTTTTTCAAAAACCCAAAAACTTGATGAGTATCTCTAGATTTAGTTTTTTAAGGTGGGATTGCGCAGTCGGATATGTTTGAACAGTTTTTTGGGGTTGTTTTAAAACAAGAATATTTTTTCTCCTGTAACCATATACTGTATAAAAATGATCAACTTTCATTGATCTTAATAGACATGAAAACACTAAATATATAAGCCAATATTGAGTTATCATTTGTAACCTGTAAATGGTTAATTCAGGCTCAAAAAGCGACATCTATGTTTCAAGTTAAGAACTTTTCAAATGACCCTCATATACCTACATAGGTATAATACTAATTTATTTTTAATCATTGTTTATTTTAAGCATTTTATACAAAATTAATAAAGTTACATTTTTTATATATTAATACTTAATTTATTCATTTTAATCAAAACAAACTTACCTGACAAATTTTTCTGGCCTCATTGTATGCTTTTAACGGTGACTTAATGAACCTATAGCACGAATCTTGAAACTGATACCAATGTTCAGGGCACTTTAATTCGGTAAAATACCCATTACTGCCTATATAACTGTTTTGATTATTATCATAATTGTATGTTTTAAAAGGAGTATTATAATTGTTCACATTTGGATTATTATTGCTATTTTGATTAAAATTAACGTTTAAATCCCTATTGGGGTTGTTGATATTGTTTTGACTATAGTCTAAGGGTTGATTATTTGCTCCATAATTATTTGTTCCATAACTATTTGCTCCGTAGTTGTTTGTTCCATAGTTATTTGGGTTGTTATTATTATCGTTGTACAAATTGTCTTGTGCTAAAGCTAACCCCAGTACCAAGTACTGAAGAAAAAATAAAACCCACATATCTAAAAAAAAAAGACCTTATTAAAAACATAAAATCTTAATGGGAGTGGCATACATAATTTACATTAAAGATCCAAACTTATATATAAAATATTAATACAAAATTATCTACCTTATATACAAAATTTTTATCTTATCACTTACCTAAACCATAAATTATATATTTATTTAATAAAAAACAATAAAGCGTCACATAAAATTCATAATAAGTTCCCTCAAATACCTAACGAATGACGTACTAATTAGAAAAAGACGGGTATAATAACTTCAATGAAGTTGGCTACAAAGACATTTTGAATTTCACTTACACCACACAATACTTTAAATAAATAAATCAAGTAAACGCCTAAAAAATATCACACAAAACATACTTCTAAATAGTAAATAATCACAATTCAGTATAAAAAATCATTTATCTCTCATTAAAAGTCTTTAAATGTTTAATTAATTCAAGGAATTTCAGGTAGATTCCATCGTTTAAATCCGACTTTTAACAGGTGCTTTTCTATTGGTGCTGATTCATAAATTTACACCCTACAATTAGTCATAGAAGATTTTTAAAACACTTTTTATTAAGAAAAATCTCCAATGGTTTAACCAATTAATCACAAACGCAATGCATTTTGTTTTATTGAAAGAAATAAAGAATTAAAATTTAAAGTAATGAATTCATAAATAAATTTAAAAAAAATTATACATTTGGTCCAATTATAATTATTTAATGTATATTATTATATTTATTTAATTCCTTTAATAGCATATTTTAAAAAGCCCGCCATACAGTGACATCTGTCAGTTTGACACTGGCGTTAAACATTTAAAACATAGATGGCGCTTTCAATAAAATTTTAGTATTTTTCTTTTTAAGGGTTATTTTTGGTATTTTTTAATAATATTTAATGTTTTAATAAAAAGTGGTGCCCCATGAAGACTTTTTGGGTTCAGTGAAAGACTGTTTTAAGTGTTCTGCACCCACACATTCCTTTTATATACAATGACGTTATTTTGATGACACACCAACACAATAACCAAATATAAAATGATCAGGTTTGTCAAAAACAAATGATAAAAAGATAATATGCAAAGTCTTAATTGTTGATAACAATTAATCTGTTACCTGAACATTCAACGCAATGGAATATGCGAAATAATTCGTAATAAAAATATTTTACACCACAGAAAAATTCTTTTTAGGTAAGTCACTACATAGCATATGTTTTCTATAAAAATATATAAGTTTTAGCTATTTAATGTTTGTAAATTTTAGATTAGTATGGAGGGTAACAATAGAGATAAAAGTAAAGATATAGATTGGTCCAGATTTGGTTTAGGAGCTGAAACAGCTCAAAGGGTTAGAGCGAATACAAGTGGTTTTGTCGATTTGTCCAATGATTACGGAGCAGGGGGTCATCAAGCATCAGGGGCCAATGAATTATTCGCCGAAGAACAGGTAGGAATATTACTCATTAGAATTTGAAATTTAGGACTTTACTTCATTCACAGGTGTGTTAATATTCTCTCAACAGGGGACTGTTCCTTGAAATTTGTATAGAGAGTGATCTCTATAGAAAGCTATAAACCAATCAGGGCACAGCATTCTCCACAGCACACTAGGTGTGATGAAGAATGCTGTGCTCTGATTGGAGAGAGTAGTCGCAAATTTTAAAAAACAGTCCCCTGTATTTACAATGAACTTGATATACAGGGTGATGTACCGTGGTGGAAATCCAACTTCTTCATATCACAACCAGTGTTATTTGGTACGTGGGATGGAGTTTTCACGTCTTGTTTGATTAATATTTTCGGCGTAATTGTTTTCCTACGATCGGGATGGATTGTGAGCGAGGCTGGAGTGATGAATGCCGTTCTTATAGTATTGGCAACAGTGTTTACCGCGTTGATATCCGTTCTATCTGCTGTTGGAATTTGTGAGAGATGCAGAATCGAAAGCGGGGGTGTTTATTTTGTGATTGCCCACACTTTGGGTTCACGATTTGGAGGCTCATTAGGGCTTTTATATTGTTTTGGACAAGTAAGTCGAAAATAAATAAATCATAATTTGCTTCATATTAGGAATTTTAGGCTGTGGGTTGTGCTTTAAATGTGTTGGGATTCGGAGAATCCATGGCTGAACTAATCGGTTTGGGCAGTTCTGCCTGGGCTGTGCAATTAATTGCAATAGCAGCTGTTTTATTACTGAGTGTTATTAACGTAGCTGGTGTCAAATGGGTCATAAAGTTACAGTTTATGCTGCTATTGATTCTGTTACTCGCTGGTTTAGATTTTGCAGTTGGCAGCTTTGTTCATACTGACATAGGTAGATATTTTTCTTAGTTCATTTAGTACTTTTTTTATTTTATTTATTTAAAGTACTTTTTTAAAACAATGTCAATCAAATAAGTACTTAAACACCTTTTAAAAGTGTTCTTTATTTTTTTAAAGGTTTTAAAAGAACTTAAGTACCTATTTAAATAAATACTAAGTAGTGGGTAATTTTTTTACTAAAATTTAATTTTAGAACATGGGGTGGAAGGTTGGTTAAGTGATAACCTTGAAAAGAACATGTGGTCAAACTACACCGAGGGCTATAGCTGGTTTACGGTTTTCGGGGTGTTTTTCCCAACAATCACGGGAATTTTGTCGGGAATAAACATGAGCGGAGATCTAAAAGCCCCCTCGACAAACATCCCGAACGGAACATTGGCAGCTATAAGCACGGGAACACTTTTGTACCTCGTTTTTATAATATTTTTAGGGGCAACTTGCGTAAGAGCCGATCTACTGACTGATTTTATGATAGCCGGCAAAGTATCCGCCATTAGTGTCTTATTATTGGCTGGACTGTACGTTTCGTCGATGTCCAGCTGTCTGGGGGCCATGTACGGTACACCCAGAGTACTGCAGTCAATTGCCTTAGAAAATGTCATACCCGGAATAGGTATTTTGGGAACGGGAGTAAGTCCATTTTTATGTTGCCCCACTCTAGTATGGAAATTCCTTATAGTTTAGCACTTTTAAAGTACTTTTTTATAGTACTAAATTATCTGGAATTTATTGTTAAAAAGATTTTAAAAGTTACTGTCAAGTATGTTCAAAAAGTATATTTTTATTAATTTCTTAGTCCCTCACTGACATAAGCAAGGTACAAAAGAAATAAATAAAATATACTTTTTGGAAGTACTTAGTACTTTTAAAAAGTCCTTTAAACCTGGTCAAGTACTTTCAAAAAATTTATTTTAATTAATTTCTTAATATCTTACCCAACGAGCTTGGGACTAAAAAAATAACCAAAATATACTTTTTAAAAGTACTAAATTATCTAATATTTAAAAGTTGTGTCAAATATAGCTTCTTTAAAACATTTGTTAAAATAAGGTAGTTACTTACCCGTCAAATTCCAGATAATTTAGGACTTTTAAAACTAGTTCAAATACTTTGAAAAAGTATATATTCATTAATTTCTTACTGTTATGAGTATGGGACTAAAAATTAGTAAAAATATACATGAAAGTACTTAATACCCGGAATTCGATAATTTAGTATTTTTAAATAGTTCTGAAAATACTTTCAAGAAGTAATTTTCTCGTATTTTTTAGTCCCATACTTGTTTGGGTATGCAACTAAGAGTTTAATAAAAATATACTTTTTCAAAGTACTTGACCTAATTTAAAGTAATAATACCTGAAATTTGATTGTTACATGTCAAACAAGTACAGAAATAGTTCCTTCAAAAGATTTGTAAAAAATAAGATATTTACTTAACTAAAAAAATTATAAAATATATATTTTGAATTTATTAAAATATGTTTTTTAAATTTATTAGTCTCTTACGCAAACGAGCATGGAACTAAAAAAATACCCAAAATATACTTTTTGAAAGTACTAAATTATCTGAAATATAAATGTAGTGTCAAAAATGTAATAGCTTTTTAAAACATATTTTAAAATAATGTAGTTACTTACCTGTCAAATTTCAGATAATTTAGGACTTTTAAAAGTCCTTTAAACTAGTTTAAATACGTTAAAAAGTATATTTTTATTAATTTCTTAGTCACTTACTGCTGTGAGTATGGGACTAAGAAATTTGTAAAAATATACCTGAAAGTAATTAATACCTGGAATTCGATAATTTAGTATTTTTAAATAGTTCTGTAAGTACTTTCAAAAAGTCAATTTTTACGTATTTTTTAGTCTTTTTCTTGTTTAGGTAAGATACTAAGAAATTAATAAAAATATACGTTTCGAAAGTACTTGACCTAATTTAAAGTACTTTTTTAGAGTACTAAATTACCTGACATTTGATGGTTATGTACATGTTAAAAAAGTGCCGAAATAGTTCGTTCGAAAGATTTGTAAAAAATAAGTCATTTATTTAAATATCAAATTTTAAATAATTTAGTACAAAAGTCCTTTAAACTAGGTCAAGTACGAACATTTTTTGAATTTCTTAGGGCCAGTTTATCAATGTTCAGTTAAAGTTGCAGTTAGTTATCTAATGTAATAATACCTGTCAAATTTCAGATAATTTAAAAGTCCTTTAAACTAGTTCAAGTACTTTGAAAAAGTATATTTATTACTGTTATGAGTATGGGACTAATAAATTAGTAAAAATATACTTGAAAGTACTTAATACCTGGAATTCGATAATTTAGTATTTTTAAATGGTTCTGTAAGTACTTTCAAAAAGTACAGTTTTTCTTATTTTTTAGTCTTTTACTTGTTTAGGTAAGATACTAAGAAATTAATAAAAATATACTTTTTGAAAGTACTTGACCTAATTTAAAGTACTTTTTAAGAGTACTAAATTACTTGAAATTTGATGGTTACATGTTAAAAAAGTGCCGAAATAGTTCCTTCGAAAGATTTGTAAAAAATAAGTTATTTATTTAAATATCAAATTTTACATAATTTAGTATTTTCAAAAGTCCTTTAAACTAGGTCAAGTACGAATATTTTTTGAATTTCTTAGTCTCTTACGCAAACGAGCATGAAACTAAAAAAATATCCAAAATATACTGTTTGAAAGTACTAAATTATCTGAAATTTAAAAGTAGTATCAAAAATGTAATAATACCTGTCAAATTTCAGATAATTTAAAAGTCCTTTAAACTAGTTCAAGTACGTTGAAAAAGTATATTTATTACTGTTATGAGTATGGGACTAATAAATTAGTAAAAATATACTTGAAAGTACTTGATACCTGGAATTCGATAATTTAGTATTTTTTAAATAGTTCTGTAAGTACTTTCAAAAATTAAAGTTTTTCGTATTTTTTAGTCCCATACTTGTTTAGGCAAAAGACTAAGAAATTAATAAAAATATACTTTTTGAAAGTACTCGACTTAATTGAAAGTACTTGACTTAATTGAAAGTACTTTTCAAGAGTACTAAATTAACTAAAATTTGATAGTTACAAGCACAGAAATGGTTCCTTTGAAAGATTTGTAAAAAATAAGGTATTTACTTAACTATCAAATTCCACATAATTTAGTACTTTTAATAGTACGTATATTTTTACTTACTGACAAACAAATTAATACAAATATATTTTTTGAAAGTACTTGGTAACTGTAATTTGATAATTTAGTACTTTTAAAAAGTCATTTAAACTAGGTCAAGTATATTTTTATTAATTTTTTAGTCTCTTACTGACATGATTACGGAAGAAATTAATAAAAATATACTTTTTGAAAGTACTTAAAACCTGGAATTTAAAAATTAATTACTTTTAAAAAGTCCTTTAAACATAAAATATGATTTCTAAAAGTATTGTCCTAGTTTAAAATACTTTTTATAAGTACAAAATTATCTAGAATTTGTTACAAAATAGTACTTTTAAGGTACTTAGATAAGTACTTTGGCCAGCTTTTGATTGTTGTTGTATTTTAGAGAGGACCAAATAAAGTACCATTGTATTCAATGGCTTGCGTAGCGGTAGTGACGTTTGCATTTATACTGATAGGAAATATAAATACACTAGCACCAATAGTAACGATGCCTTATTTATTAACTTACGCCTGCATCGATTATTCGTACTTTGCCTTGGCACAAACGTTTGATATACAACACCAAAGAGAGCAAAGATTTTACAGATCCAAAGTTCATCAGTCTTACAGCATTGAGGCTGACGACAATGACTTGGATCGACTTTTTCCCGAACGCACCAGACATAAGACTTTAAGGGTAACTTTGCGGAAATGTTGTTGTATTTTGCAATTAAAAAAATATTTTAGGGCGAGTCTAGTTCAAACTCGCCGAGCAGCCCCGAGGAAAACAGCGAAACAACACCTATATCACCGAAACCTCATATACACTCGAAACCGAAAAACTGGTACTCGAGCCTATGCAACCGTTGGCTGTCACTTTTTGGGGCTCTTTTAAAAATTTTCATCATGTTTTTGGTGAACTATGCTTACGCCATCGCCTGTATAACGGTGGTGTTTTTGGTCTGGCTGTATATAGGCACAGCAAACCCAGCTGTCAAACCCGGTCTAGCCACAGACTTCAGATTTTTGAGGTGGATCAAGAATCTTTTACTAAGATGCTGCGGGTAAGTCATTATTTTAATACTAGAGACATCTTCAGGGATTAAACTGAAACTTATGGCGTTAGCGCGCTTTTTCAGATTACCCTGTATAATAAGTAGGTTCTGTACCACCACTTTTTTTCAGTAAACGTGTAACTGACTATGAACAAATAGTTGTAACGCCTGTCCACCCAGGTTTAGATGTAACTTCTTCCCAGCTAAATGAAGATAATGAAGATTTTTCAAACAGAAGACGTTACCATCAATCTGCAACTGTACATGGCCATATGGTCAACATTGAAGATTAACCGCATAAATAAAAAAATAAGCTTTTTACCACTTTATTATGTATATATTTTTGTAATAAATTAATAAATAATTGTAATAATAAAAATTAATATATTTTCTATGCGAGTGTTTTTATTTTTAGTCCCCCATTACATTTAAATTGCTAATTAGGTGAGTGATAAGGTACTTTATCTAAACTTGCGTCAAACGTTTTAATTATAAATCCAATTTAAATAAATGTCATTGACACAATTTTTTGATTAGCTATTTGGAAAATCGAGAAAAAAAACAGTATGTGCTTTTTTATTTGTCAGGACTCAAAATGCACTTATAGATCAATACAATTTTTATAGGTATACAGAGTGTCCCGAAATTTAGTTTACTTTTCCCAATCAGCGTCTTTTGTTAACATAAAAATTATAAACATTCTCCTCAAATTTAAAAATTCATTCAAACATTAAACCGCGACTAAAGAAACTATTAAAGTACATATTTGCCAATTAAGCCATCAAATAGTACACGCATTTCCTTAAGCAAACATCCTATTTTAATTGTGTTTGTTTAGTTTGTTTTAAAAAAACGTGTAACGGCGGATTTGTTTTCAGTCATTTAGAGAAAGTGAAAAGTGTACACTGGGAAACTGACCTGAATTTAACAGCAGTGAGCCATTTTCGGGACACCCTGTATGTCTTATCTGATCTCTAAAATATTAATCAAAGCTGACCAAAGAACTTGATATATTTAAGCTCAAATTGTCATCGAACGAAGGCTTTAATAACTATTGTGTATATAGTGTATTGTAGAGGGGCTGCGAATAAACCTAAAACTTTGTCAACACTGTTTTTTTTTGTTTTGGTACCACTGGCAAATCAGTAAACGTCAAACAAGTAAAGCAATTGTTGTGATTGTCAATGTCAATTGCTCGATATTCGCAATATCAACACTGCCGTGCTTAATGAAAACGCCGTAACCAACAATTGTGCGATTTTTGTTTTACGGCATTTTCTACTAGAAAAATTCATCCTGCGTCTATCCCCGGTACTCAAAAAACCTTATCTATATATATACGGTTTTTTGAGTACCGGGGATAGACGCAGGATGATTTTTTCTAGTAGAAAATGCCGTAAAACAAAAATCGCTCAATTGTTGGTTACGGCGTTTTCATTAAGCACGGCAGAACAATACATAATTACAGTGTTAAATAATTAATGGAGAAGTCCGCGAATAAAACGATCAAAGTGAAAATTTGAACGAGCAAAATGTGGCGTCCGCTACGTGGTTATTTTAAACGTTAAAGGTTAAATTTCATTAATAGTGCACACCACATTTAAATGATGTCTACTAATACGAGCACTCAAGCGGGGTTAAACCTAATAACCAGCAGTTGTGAGAGTACCACTCCACAAGGTACTCCTCTATCCAATAAGGGAGAAGAAAAAAAAACTAAGGCCCTTTTAAATATCTTGCCAAAATTACCTTCTAGTGATTCTTTATGTAACAGTCCTGGTAAGTGAATCCACAAGTTATTTTAATTGTCATTAAAACCGTCATTGTAGGGGTCCAAAGTGTTATGGAAAAAACTGACAACCAAACCAATGATAATGTACGTTTAAATAGGGTTATCCACACCAAATTGTCCAATAAATATGAAGTGTTTCTTGAAATTTGCCAACTTTACATAGAAAATCATCTCTATAGAAACCAATCAGAGCATCTAGTGTGCTGTGGATAATGCTGGGCTCTAATTGGTTTATTGCTTTCTATAGAGATAATTTTCTATAGAAAGTAAAGTGCAAAATTTTAAGAAACACCCCTCTGGAAGTATTTTACTTTTTTAATTTTAATATTTAGGCAATATTTTGCTTAGTATCCATAAATTTAAAAATAAATTAACAGTAAAATATGATCTCTAAAAAAATTGTACAATTTAATTAATATGGATAATTTGATATCAACAAAACAATTGTAATCTTTCAGTTACATTCACCTGAGTCCTGCTCAAAACTAACTCGCAAAGAATCTTACAAAGCCCAAAGAAAAAACTACCGTAGAGAAAAAAAAAGGGTTACAAATGAACTGCTGAATTCTCTTAAAGACCCAGCGGTGATAGTGTTGGCTGATTGGTTGAAAATAAGGGGCACCCTTAAGTCGTGGACGAAGCTTTGGTGTGTCCTTAAGCCAGGACTTCTAGTCCTATACAAGAGTCCAAAGGCCAAGGTATGCTTAAATTAGTTAATGATAAAAATCGCTAATTATTGTTATTAAACATTACCAGCTAAAATGTTTTGAAGGTTCATGGATAATAGTTATTTAAATATGTTTTTACTTGTGTAAACAATTTTTCAATAAAATGCAGTAAAAAACACATTAATTTAAGTGTTTATTGAAATTTAAGACTTTACTTTCTATAGAAAGCACCGCATTCTAGTGTGCTGCTTTTTATTGAAAGTTAAGTCACAAATTTTAAGAAACATTGAGAGAAGTGTTAAATTAAAAATGTCATTTTGTAAAACGAAAAAAAACCCTATTTTTTGATTTTAGAGTAGTCATTGGGTTGGAACAATACTTTTGAACTCTTGTAAAGTGATTGAGAGGCCGAGCAAAAAGGATGGTTTTTGCTTTAAATTGTACAATCCTTTGGACCAATCAATTTGGGCCCCAAGGGGACCCGAAAACGAAACAATTGGTAAGCATTTTTACTTTATTTTAACTGGGCGATTTGAAATTAAAAAAGCATTAATTAATGCGGCGAATTTATTGCGGTAATTTATTTTTATAGCTCAAATATTTATTCTAAGATGAATTATTAAGTACAGACTCATCCTTGAAACTTTAATCATTAGAATATTTAATGCATGTAATAGTAATCAATAGAAGTTGTGAAATTTATAATATTTAAAATTATGAAATAAATATTTAAATAAACATTCAAGGGAATAAATAAAATATTTTATAATATTCTGGTTAATCAAAGTCAAAGAATATTAAATCAATTAATTTTTTGAGTTTTTAAACTTATTCCGATAAAATTACCTAATTTAATTTAAATTGTGCGCATGTTCATTGAATTAAAAATTAGCCGTTCTTAAATAATTTAATCTTTTTGTCTACTGGATTTTGAGGTACCAACACCATCTTTTGTTTTTACTTTGGCCGCCATATTTAATTTTTCTGTAGAGGACATTTTAAAAATGTTAAAATTCTAACCTAACTGGCCTCTATGCAGAGCTGGGAAAGTTACTTCTGAAAAGGATCTAGTTACTTTTCTAAGATACTTTAAACAAAATAACTTAGTAACCTCTGCTAACTAGATACTTTAAGTTAAAAGTATCTTTAGTTACAAGATAATTTTAAGTAACTAAGATACTTTTGAGTAACTAAGTTACTTTTAAGTTTGAATAAAAACTATAAAATTATAAAAATTCAACAAGTTGTAGGTTAGGTAATTACTTTGAATCATTCTGGAATTCTCCAAATTTTCTCTAAGAAAGTATCTAAGTTACACTGAAAAGTTATTTTAAAAAGTTAGTTTAGTTAAAGATTCTTTAAGTATCTAAGTTACTTTTAAGTACCTTTTTTTTCCAAGATACCAATGTTACCAGGTCAAAAAACATAAAATCACCAGACACTTGCTTTAAAAGTTGCCAGATTTAATAAATAATCACCAGATTTTGTATTTTTTGCATATTTGCATATAATAATTAAATGAATCTAAATACAATGCTTTAAAGCACATTTTACACACTACAAAATTTATTGCTACATATTATAATTTGTGTGATTTAATAATATCTGTAGTAACTGGAAAGTTAAAACAGCAGTTTAAAATTAATCTTCTACTATTTATGTAAAATTCCACTTAATGTTTTGGAGTCTAATCTATTTGTTTTATTTATTTTATTTAAAGCTCTGGAAAGAAAAGACCTTTGTAACCTTTTTTGGCATTACACACTTTCCAAAATTTAGTTTTGGGCAAAATTATTCATGTTTTAATATTTTAGTTCCCTAAACTATTTAAGGTTTTGATCTTTGTAAGCAGATTATGTTGGTAGCATTTTAACATTTAAAATTTCAACATTTAACATTTTAACCGATTTTAACCGTGTTTTTAGGAACATTTTAATTTACAAATGTCAGGGTCGAAAATATCACCAGAAATAAGGCTTTTAAGAAAAGTTTTCACCTAATCACCAAATGAATTAAAAATCACCAAATCTGGTGAATTTTCACCAAACCTGGCAACATTGCAAGATACTCCCAGATTTGCCTCTATGTGTATATAGGGCAGAAAATTTAAGAAATGTGTACTATCCACATCATAGACTTTCAATGTCTGAAAAGGGATGCTCATATGCCTGCAAAAAAACATTCAACATTTTACCAAAAAAATTTAACAATATAAACAATTTTAATTTTTTTAAATCTCTGTCTGTGATTGGATTCGTAATTTAGAGCCTTGATATATTTGATTTATTTGATTCCTATTATTATTATTATTGGAATTTTCTCAAAATATAGTAAATAAGAAATCTGATGAAAATTAAGATGAATGTGTATTTTTACATGTAAAACTTTCGAGAATTTTGGTTTTGAAAGATTTTTATGTTATTTTGCCTTTTTTTCAATTTATAAATTTAATTTTAATAGAATTTGCTCTAATTCAACTGACCTTGTACATTTATTTACCACTTTTACGCAGATTTCAAAAAATTTGCTATTTTTTTAATAAAAATATTTTAGGTGCTGTTGTACAACCTTTACCTAGTTCCTATTCAATATTTAGAGCTCCTTCCCAAGCATCCGGCATGTGTTGGCTGGATGCTTTAGAAATATCAATAAGAAACGATGCGGCCTTGGTGAGGTCCGTTAGCAACAAGTCCGGATCTGGAAGTACCAATCACGAAACTCAATGGTCAGAGGCGGACTACGAAAGACATTTTGTGCATGGTAAGAAGGATTTTCGGTTATGTTAAGCCATTTTTGACATTTAATTTTTTCTTTTAAGATTTGGACGACATAAGTCAACCGGACAACGGTGCGCAAATTAGTGCCGGGGAAATAAGCGATACAGATTCGGAAATGTCCATAAAGGATGACGAAATCGATGAAGATCCCATCGAGACTCCCTACGTTCCAAACGATGAGGAGGAATTCGGAGATGTAACACTATTTATTATTAACGTGGCTGTTTTGTAATTATATTTGTTTAGGTTGGCGAACAAGTGGAGGAGTTGGCGGAAGAGCACAAATCTCTCATATGGTACATAGTCAAGCAAGTCAGACCTGGAATGGATTTAAGCAAAGTAGTCTTGCCAACGTTCATATTGGAACCGAGATCGTTTCTGGACAAACTATCAGATTCCTATTATCACGTAGATATCCTCACCAGTGCCGTGCTGGAAGACGACGCTTTCACGCGCATGAAAACGGTCGTGAAGTGGTACCTATCGGGGCTGTACAAAAAACCGCGCGGCCTGAAGAAGCCCTACAACCCGATATTAGGCGAGACGTTCAGGTGTTACTGGCAACATCCGAACGGTTCGAAAACGTTTTATCTGGCTGAGCAAGTGTCCCATCACCCGCCAGTGTCGGCTTTTTACGTCACGAACCGCCAGGACGGTTTCGCCATACACGCGAGCATCCTGGCGCGCTCGAAATTCTACGGCAACTCCACGTCGGCGATTCTCGACGGCACCGCGGTTCTATCGTTGCTCCCCAGAGGGGAGGATTACAAGTTGACGGTGCCCTACGCCCACTGCAAGGGTATCTTGATGGGTACGTTATCGATGGAGCTGGGCGGTAAGGTCACCATAGACTGCGAGAAGACAGGGTATCACACCGAAATCGACTTCAAGTTGCGGACGTTCCTCGGCGGGGCCGAGCAAACGAATTGCATCACTGGTCGGCTGAAGCTCGGCAAGGAAACGCTGGCGACGTTGGAGGGCCACTGGGACGGCGCCATCAACATCAAGGACAAACGCACCGGCGAGCAGCAGGTATTATGTTGTAAAACCATGGAATTTTCCAGGATTTATTTTCTAGGAAAGCATAGTTCTTCCCCTTATACACTGACGATTCTTTCCAATGTTTATGCCAGCTATTATACAATAATTTTTTTGAAGCTTTGAAAAATTCTGAAGTAGGGATTTCATATTTTTCTGTGTTTTTGTTTGCTGCTTCTTTCATTTCCAGTAATCCCTGAGTGACCAGGGATCCAACATAGAGCCCCTTTTCCCCCATAATCTTTAATATCATTGTATAACTGGTTAATACTTAAAGAAATGTTGTTAGATTTTCCGTTCCATGGATTATTTTTTATCTAAGTACGCTCAGAGAGTCTGAGAAAATAATTACCTTTTAAACAAATTTTTAACGCAGGTGCTGTTCAGCTCGACGCAGCAGGTGCGCAAGACGCGCTTGGTGCGGTACACGGTGCCGGCCGACCGGCAGGAGGACTTCGAGAGCGAGCGCCTGTGGCAGCACGTCTCGGCCGCCATTGGCAGGGAGGACATGGCCGCCGCCACCGAGGAGAAGACGATCCTCGAGGAGGCGCAGCGCGCGCGCTCCAAGGAGCGCAAGGCCAAGTGCGAGGAGTGGCTGCCGGTGCACTTCCAGCAGGACTTGAAGAACGGACAGTGGGTGTACAAGCACTCGGATCTGCGGCCGTGGGACCCGCGCAACGATTTGTATCAGTACGAGTACAACTACGTCATCGGCACCAGGACCAAGCACCCCACTCCCATGATCAGGACGTCCAGCATCATCAGCGTCGAGCCGAACACGGTAGGGTTTTTTTACATTGTCGCAGAGGTTTTTACGGCAATTTTATTTTAGGAAACGCGCTCGTCGACTATGAAGGTGATCAGCCGGAAAATGGCAACAAAGCAAGTTTCTTCGGATGCTGACGTCAACGATAGCGCTACAACTTCCGAGGAGTTCCATTCTGATTCCACGCAGTCCATTAGAAAAGTTTCCTTGGCTGCGACAAATTCCGGGTAAGAGTTTTCTATGGCACGCCAAAAATTTAACTGATGGTCAACAATTTTTTTTAATAAAACTAAATGAGTTTGACCTACACTTTTATTGTGTTTTCATCTTTCATAATTAAGTAAAGTGACCATTCGATTTTGCGGTTAATCACTATGTCGTTTTACGAGAAATCATAATTTCTTACAAAAAATAATAAATCTGACAAAAAATAAAATTGACTTACAAATTTGTAAAACTTATAATTGTTTGCAAAATAAAATAAAAAAGTTTCGGCCGCTCACGAGTAAAAAATACTCCAGAAAAATTGACTCAATGGACTGAAAATAAAGTTTCCATTGACAAAAGATGGGTTGAGATTTTTTAATATTTACGCGTCCAAAATGTTCCCTTTCATAAACGGGTATATTCTGGAATAAATAAATATAATTTCTTGTAAAGAATTTTATAATTCTGTAAAGAATAATGATGACCTTCTGCGGAAAATTCAGTCGACAGAAAATTCTTTTCTGTTTCTGGACCTTCCCCTTCCGCTTTTGGCAGATTTTTTTTGGCTTTGTCTCGAATTTTGACATTTTTGATGTGGTCACTTTATAATTAAGTAGATATTACAGTTCAAGTTCCAGATTTTGAACCGCTATTAATTATTTTTTACAACGTTTTAAAAGTCTAAAACCTATCCTACTCTTTCTAGGTTAACCTATATGTTTTCAAATGTCTGAGGTAGTAAAAGCATACTAAAAATATCAGTTCACTAAGTAAATTAAACACATCAAATCAAATATAAAATATTATTAGAAATTAAAAGAAATAATTTTTATAACCATTTATGTAGGTGTTACAAAAATGATTCTATCCTCCGTGAATCTGTTTTTGCTTTAAATTTTATGCAACGGATTAGAATTTATATGTTGCTGTTTTATAATTCAAAAGTTTAAGTTCATTAAGTTGCTATTTAAAAACCTATCCTCCGTGAAGTGCAATATCTCAGTAAGTAGATTTTTTATAAATATTTTATGAATTTTTTAAAAATATTAAGGTGTCCAAAGATACAATAACTTATTTCAAATATTCAAAGGGATGTTTAAAAAAAACATACGAAATCCTAACCTCCGTGAAGCTTTAATATTCAAAATGTATGATTTCTTAAAATTCTTGCATTAGTGCAGAACTAGTTATGTTATGTTATTACTAGACCTGGTGGCTTCACAAAAACCCCATTATAGACTAAGAGTGAACCAACCAAAAATAAAAAATAATCATTTTCACTTGGGGGTCATCTCAATATATTCAGCCATATTTAAAAATGAATCGTCGTGCGTTAGTCCTGCAAAAAATCGGAAATGGCTTAACCGATTTAAATAATTAATTGTTTGTTTTGTTCGCCTCAATACAGGGGTGATTTAAATAAAAAATACATTAGGAAAAACCGAAAGGAACAGCCGGAAAATCAAAATTCGTAAAACTTTGGATTAATTCGAATAGATGGCGTTCGTAGCTGCGCTTCAGATTAAATGAAAAAACATAACCACAAATTCATTCATTCAATTGTTTTAGCTAGAAATTACTTTAAATACTAAAGTTCTCAATTGTTTAAATTAGTTTAAATGAAAATTGATTGGAAATAATATTAATACAAAAGTGAACTGTTGGTTGTCTATTAATACATGATTGTTAAAAATATTTTAAAATTTATAAATGTAAACCCAAAATGTTTAGTTAGGAAAACTTTAAACCAATAAAATTTTATATTAAATAATTATTTTATAAATGTTAAAACGGCGTGCCATAGTTTTTTTTTTAAATAATTTTCGTAAGTTATTAACTATTACTTTGCAATTTTTGTAGAATAATGAATGCCATTAGCGACTTGGAGTGTAGTTTAAAGAAGCACGGGGACCGCATAACACAATTACAGGTAAAAATTCATAAAATGGTGGAGATCAACAAAAATTCGAATTTCAGTAATTTTAAGTTAGTATTGTTGATAATATTTTCTATGGGTGTTACACAGGCTCTCTTACTAATGTATTTTAAGTAAATGTTGTTTTTTGTACAACAGTCCTTTTTATTGTTAGTATGTATTTTCGATGGTATGTGATACCATTTTTGTAAAGATTTTATATTTGTGCAATTCGTTGTGATAAGGAGGAAGGTGTGAGGCTGGATTCGAACTTTTTCAGCAATGAGCCGCTGAAACGTATTGGATTTGTTGCGGAAATTTTTTTGTCAAAATTTAACACGCACATTTTTAGTAATTATTACTTCTCGCGATTGCGCTCCTTTAAAATCCAAGACTGAAAAATCGGTTGAAATTGAATTTCGCAACTTTTCGGTACGTTTTTCGAGGTTTTTGTTTAAATTAAAGTAATAATATTGTGCCTTTAATTGGCATTTTGTGTTATCCAAATACATAACTATTTGAAATATGTGATATTGCCAGTTTCAAATGCAAGGACAATGTTTAAATAAATTTAAATTACAAATTTTTCCCGTGCATGAAAAAACTAATTAACATTAAATTTAAATTGCTTTTAGGCTTTAAAATCCAGAAATTAATATTTAGAGAAGTCATTGCTCATTAAAAAATACCGCAATTGTCGGAAATTTAAAAAAGTTTTCATCTATGAAACGGTGAAGTAAATTAACAAGTGTTGATAATCGGTGACAGGAATTTAAATATATACATACATATTTAGCTATTAAATAGTGCAAAGCCCAATCTTACTTTGCAAATTTAAATTTTAAAGTATACCAAACACCAAAAAGTGAGTTTTAGTTTTTCAATGTACACTCTGGAAAAAAGGCATCACATTTTGCGAGAAATTTTAAACGTGATGATTTTTTGACATGGTGAAATTCATACAGGTATGGTTTTCACTTACATAGGCATAATTAATGAGAAGGTTTTTTTATAAGAAATACATATAATAAATTTAGTACAAAAAATATTTACGTTAATTATCCCGGTATATTTTAAACTTTTCTACATAAGCACTTATGTATATTCTAAGAGATATATTGTAATGCATGCTATTTATGAATATGTAATAATAATAACAATCAATACAAATGTAACCTACCTGTGTTTTCCAATTATCCAACACTAAAATGCTTAATATATTATATTGACAAGCTTATACGTTTTATTTTATACCTACATATTTTTAGTCCCCATTAAATTAAGAACATACATATTTCGGGGGGTGATTTGCTTTAAACAAATGTCCAAAAATGGGTTCTGTGGGCGCTATAGGCATTTTAAACTAAATTAATTATTTCAGAAACGGTAAGTACAAAAATAATTATGCTTTATTTTTGGTCAAGAAATCACCAGGATCGCAAAAAAGTGAAGACGTATAGCTCCTGATACAATGCAATGTTGCAAGATTTCTCAAAAATACCAGATCTAGGTAATTTCTTAAAAATTTGAACCATTTGGTAAAATTTTGCGATGTTCCGGATTTTGTATTAGGATCGCAGAAAAGCGAGGAGGTATAGCTCCTGATACAATGCAATGTTGCAAGATTTCCCAAAAATACCAGATCAAGGTAATTTTTAAAAAATTTGAACCTTTCGGTAAAATTTTGCGATTTTTCGGATTTTGTATTAGGATCGCAAAAAAGTGAGGAGATATAGCTCCTGATACAATGCAATGTTGCAAGATTTCTGAAAAATACCATATCAAGGTAATTTCTTTAAAATTTGAACCATTTGGTAAAATTTTGCGATTTTACCGGGTTTTGTATTAGGATAACAGAAAAGCGAGGAGGTATAGCTCCTGATACAATACAATGTTGCAATATTTCTGAAAAATACCAGATCTAGGTAATTTCTTAAAAATTTAACCATTTGATAAAATTTTGCAATTTTCTGGATTTCGTATTAGGATCGCAGAAAAGAGAGGAGGTATAGCTCCTGATGCAATGCAATGTTGAAAGATTTCTCAAAAATACGAAATCAAGGAAATTTCTAAAAATTTTAACCATTTGGTAAAATTTTGCGATTTTTCGGATTTTGTATTAGGATCGCAGAAAAGCGAGGAGGTATATCTCCTGATACAATTCAATGTTGCAAGATTTCTCAAAATCACATCAAGTTAATTTTCTAAAAATTGAACTATTTGGTAAAATTTTGCGATTTTTCGGATTTTGTATTAGGATAACAGAAAATCTAGGAGGTATAGCTCCTGATACAATTCAATGTTGCAAGATTTTTAAAAAATACCAGATCAAGGTAATTTCTTAAAATCTGAACCATTTGGTAAAATTTTGCGATTTTACCGGGTTTTGTATTAGGATAACAGAAAAGCGAGGAGTTATAGTTCCTGATACAATGCAATGTTGCAAGATTTCTGAAAAATACCAGATCTAGGTAATTTCTTAAAAATTGAACCATTTGATAAAATTTTCCATTTTTCTGGATTTCGTATTAGGATCGCAGAAAAGCGAGGAGGTATAGCTCCTGATACAATGCAATGTTGCAAGATTTCTCAAAAATACCATATCCAGGTAATTTCTTTAAAATTTGAACCATTTGGTAAAATTTTGCAATTTTCTGGATTTCGTATTAGGATCGCAGAAAAGCGAAGAGGTATAGCTCCTGATACAATGCAATGTTGCAAGATTTCTCAAAAATACCATATCAAGGTAATTTCTTTAAATTTTTAACCATTTGGTAAAATTTTGCAATTTTCTGGATTTCGTATTAGGATCGCAGAAAAGCGAGGAGGTATAGCGCCTGATACAATGCAATGTTGCAAGATTTCCCAAAAATACCAGATCTAGGTAATTTCTTAAAAATTGAATCATTTGGTAAAATTTTGCAATTTTCTGGATTTCGTATTAGGATCGCAGAAAAGCGAGGAGGTATAGCTCCTGATACAATGCAATGTTGCAAGATTTCCCAAAAATACCAGATCTAGGTAATTTCTTAAAAATTGAATCATTTGGTAAAATTTTGCAATTTTCTGGATTTCGTATTAGGTAATTTCTTAAAATTTGAACCCTTGGTAAAATTTTGCGATTTTACCGGGTTTTGTATTAGGATAACAGAAAAGTGAGGAGGTATAGGTCCTGATACAATGCAATGTTGCAAGATTTCCAAAAACTACCAGATCTAGGTAATTTCTTAAAATTTGAACCATTTGGTAACATTTTGCGATTTTACCCGGTTTTGTATTAGGATAACAGAAAAGCGAGGAGGTATAGCTCCTGATACAATGCAATGTTGCAAGATTTCTCAAAAATACCATATCAAGGTAATTTCTTTAAAATTTGAACCATTTGGTAAAATTTTGCAATTTTCTGGATTTCGTATTAGGATCGCAGAAAAACGAAGAGGTATAGCTCCCGATACAATGCAATGTTGCAAGATTTCTCAAAAATACCAGATTAAAGTAATTTCTAATAAATTTGAACCATTTGGTAAAATTTTACGATTTTTCGGATTTTGTATTAGGATCGCAGAAAAGCGAGGAGGTATAGCTCCTGATACAATGCAATGTTGCAAGATTTCTCAAAAATACCAGATCAAGGTAATTTCTTAAAAATTTTAACCTTTCGGTAAAATTTGGCGATTTTAAACCGTTGATTTTTCTATTTCAGTTTTTTTGCTGTGTTGCCAATTTTCTAAAAAAATCCAAGCACTTGGGAATTTTTCAAAATCTTTAGAATCCTAAAAGTAAGTAATTTTGCACTTTTTATAGTGTCAAATCGTTTAAAATAGGGTTAAATTAAGAAAAAATAAAACTCTACTAAACAGTTACACATTTATTTTAAACCATGTTTGACAACAGCAAATAAAGTACTTAATTTTGAGGTGGGAGCTAACAGATAAGATTGATTAGAAATATCGAATGGAATCAGTTTTTTCAATCCATCCATTTCTCCATTCCACTCCAATCTCCAGCCAGCAATAAATTGGAATGAATAAATAAAATAGCGATCATTTTCTGAGACGATACATAAATATGCGTCACTAATACCAAAACCTATAAAAAATAATGGAGAGATATTAGCGAGTGTTTCTGGAAAATTGCACTTTACTTTCTATAGAAAAGAATCTCAATAAAAAAGAGAGCACTTTCTATAGAAAGTAAAGTCGTAGTGTAGACAATTGTGTTACCTCCTGTATAAAATACTGATATTCCTGAAACAGGACCATCCATATGAAAACTCTGATAGTAATGATAGTTGTCATATACGGGGTTGTATTTGAGAACAACTATAGGGGCTGTATCGTGAGCTAGAACTATAAGACTGTCCCTGCTCAATACCACACCAGTGGCTGCTGAGCATCCATAAGAAGGTATAGTGCGCAGTAGCACAAATTGTTGATTTTCCATATCAAACCGGTAAATTTCAGTTTCTTCGAAGTTTCCCATTATCAGTATAATTCCTTGAGCCGTATGGAATAGGTATAAAGTTTTTAAACCTCTACTAGGTAACCATTGTATTGTGGTACCATCGCTCTAAAATCATCAATTCAACTTGGTTTCCTACGGAATAAAACAATATTTTACCTTATCCTCATCAAATCGTATCACCCTTGAAGTGACATCATGCGAATCAAGAACTGGGTCATAATAAATACCAATAACTGCATATGTTATGCCTTCAATTGTAAAAAACTCCACTCCGCTTACATAACCAGTAATAAATTCGTTAAATATGTGGAAAGAGCCGTTTCTATGCGCACTGCTCTTTGTACTCCAAGTAACTGAAGTAACTTCTTGCAAAGCCGTTGTGACATCACGTCTAAAAATAGAAAAATCAACCCGTTGTGAACAAATATTAGAAATATTCCCCAACACCAAAACAAAACACAAAGTGCTTAAAGTACTTTTCGACAACGATGTTGGCATCTACAGAAGCTTTGGCTAAAAGTACTTTAAGCACTTTGTGTTTTGTTTTGGTGTTGAGGAATATTTCCAATATTTGTTTAAATGTGATAATATTTGTCTAGGATGTTCCCGACGGGATTCTATCAAACTTCGCAAACAGCAAGCTAAATAACTAATAATAGAATGGTGGAAATTGAAAATTTATGGGTGGATGAGATCGATCAAATAAATTGGGATGCATTTAGTAAATCGGTTTTCCGGGTCGGCAAGACTGGTACCATTGAAGGTGACCTAACTTTGACCAAGTTCCTGAGTGATCGACTAAAACTGAAAAAAATTAACGGCAAACCAATTGATGATCTTTTTACAGCAAGCACTGATCAGAGAGTGAAGTCGACGGTGATATTCAAGAATATTTTCACGCAAAAATCCACTGTGGAAAAAATTAACGACGTGCACTTCGATAACTTTGTGTTTCTTAAGGAGAATGTTAAACCAACAATCAAAGGTATAGTGAAAATCGATAAGGCCGTGGTTAATGAAAAATTAGAACTCATAGGAGACTTTGCTGATGTCTACATGAAGGAGGGAGCTCATATAATCGGTAAAAACGAGTCTGATTTGCTACAAGTATATAACGATGAAGTGCACATCAAAGGTGATCTTTACGGAAGCAACCTCGACATTTGGGATGACACCAAGTTGATTTTATCCAACGAAAACTTCAATTTGGACTTCAAGAAGTATTGGAACAAATCTGCAGAACATCAGGTCATTGATGTGCATGTTGAAGCTCTTCGAGGCATGACAACATCGAGCCTTAGAACAAATCTGATAAACAAAAGAAACATAAATCAATTCATGCGCAATACCGATCAACCTCAAGCCAAGACGAACTTCCACTTTGAAAATATAACGATTGCAGGCAATCTTATATTGGACGATAATCAAATGCACACGCCGGATTTGAAGAAAATAGATGCAGACGGAGTCAAAACCACGGGTAGTTTTAATATAAAGGGTAAAAAAACTTTCATTGATACTGTGAGGGCGGAAAAACTGAACACCAATTACCTGGGCGGCATCGATATGCTTGACGTTGTAAATAGAAAGCAAAAGGTTTCCATAACTGGGAGGAAGGTGTTTGGAAATGTCACCATAAGAGAAAATTTGATTGGTAAAAATTTGGAGCTGGGTAAAATAAATGATGAGGATGTTAGCGGTATTTTCAGGATGCTTATTTTCTGGATAAACCTGGAGAAATATCGAATCTTAACTTTGAAGATGTTACAGTGACAATTTGAATATTGAACGTAATGGACACAATATCAACGAATATATAAAGAAAATGGAAACTATGTATTGGTGTTGGGGAATATTTCTAATATTTGATTAACATATCACCAAAGTCCTTTTTTTAAGTTGATTTTGGACGATTTTTACCTGCAATCGGCATCGCTGCTGATACTGTTGGTGATCACATTCAAAATCATGTCATCATCGTCGTATGTGTAAGTTCTCTGCACAGCTTTGTTGAAGAAGGTGTTTATAGAATGCGTGGGTGTTATTTCGATTGACTGCTGCGTGGGGCATTTGCAATGATCTGGTAAACCGCAGAAATGACCATCTTCCTCACTTGTTAGATGTATTAAAACATGACCTGCAGATTCAGCGCTTTTGGAGTCGATTATATTGGGTGCTTGTACATCCAGGATTTTCGATGTTTCGATGTAAAGTAGGTCTGAAGGTAGATCTGAGAAAAATAATGTTACGTCGTCAAATTCATCTATACATGTACCTACTTACTTTGGGTTAAATTAAGCATTCTATCTACATTTCGATTTATTTCATTTTTGTTTGTATACACAGAGCTAACTCTGAGATTTGTCGACTGCATACTTAATATGTCGTTGATGTATTCTACAGAATGACCATTGATACTTTTAGCTTGTATACTTCCCATCATTTCATTGGGTGATTGTAAAGTCTTAAATCAAACATAAAAATTTTATTAGATAACAACTATTACAAAAATACTCACTATAGATCCCTTAATACGAGCTGGCTCACTAAACAATATCAATTTTTCGTATGTTTCCGATAAGTGGTAACCATCGATATAATCCATTTGAGTATTACCAACGATGGTTATTTTTTTTCTAAACGTTTTTGGGCTACGTATGTTCTGAATTCCTTCATCCACTACCATATTGTCAATCATCACATCGTTGATGAAAGGAGTTATTAAATTTTCATTTATATCAATACTTTCAAAGAAATATGTGGCATTGGTGAATTGTTTTTCCTCTGAATTCTGGAGAAGTTTGTTTTCCAAAACCTTTTTTAGGTTGTGATTGTTGACATTTTCAACTGTCATATTATCGACTTCAATAGCCTCGAAAATGGTGTTTGGAACCACCAATTCCTTAGTGAATGTGGCGATATTTTCTGGAGGTATATTGGAAATGATATTGCACTACAAAAATTAGTTAAAAATGCATTAAAGCGTATAAATATACTTACGACAATTTTCTTAGTTTGAAGTCCACCAAAAAATGTTTTTCGCCCTGTTATCACATCACTTTCAATGAAATCTTTTCGAATCATTCTACGATCCAACTCCGACAGCAAAATGTTGTTGATAACTGGCACATCAGCATTTCCTCTAACAGCTCCAGAGCTTATAAAGGCTTGTGGAAAAACTTTCCTCCCAGAAATATATTGTATATCATCAGAACTCTTCAACACAACATCATCCAATATTTCTTCCACATCTATGTCATTGATAAATCCATTTTTTATATCTATATTTTCAGCTGCAAGATGAGCATTTATGTTCACCTCTTCTTCAATGAAATTGACGCCATTATTTTTAACGGTCTTTAACAAAATCCTGGATATATCGCATGTGTCGTCCAAAAACGTGGCATTCCCAGATACATTAACGTTCATCCAGAGGTTGGGATTTGGACTGTTTGCGTACTTCATTACATCCGCCAAATCACAGGGTAGTACTTTCTGAGCTTGTAGTGACTCCATGTGGGCTTTTTTGATGTTCAAATCGGTGGATATGTATAGAATACCATCGGTATCCACCATGTCGTCGAACGAAATGTTGTTGATTTTGTTGACAAATATGTTGTCTGTAAAAGTTAAAATTGTGGTTGTGTCTTGAATAGGTTTTATTATACTTACTAGCTTTAAGGTTTTCAAATGTATAAGGAGCTGTGATTTCTTGATCACCTCCCTTATAAAAAATCCTACTGGTGAGTATTTCAAAGTCAACATCGTTTATCACTTTAACTATAAGATTATCCACAGTAATTGTTTCGGTAAAATTAACAACGTTTGTTATAACTTTTGTTGCGGTTTCGTTTTTGATCAAATCTTCAAAATCAATGTCATTGATTTTATCCACGTTATCCAACGAGTTTATGGTGAGATTTCCAATGATAAAAATATCTTTAATCTTGGTAGTTGCATACATCGTTTCCATTTTCTTTATATGGTCGTTGATATTATGTCCATTAATACGTTCAGTATTCAAATTGTTCACTGTAACATCTTCAAAGTTAAGATTCGACATATCTCCAGGTTTATCCAGAAAATAAGCATCCTCAAAAATACCGCTAACATCCTTATCATTTATTTTACCCAGCTCCAAATTTTTACCAATCAAATTTTCTCTTATGGTGACATTTCCAAACACCTTCCTCCCAGTTATGGAAACCTTTTGATTTCTATTTACAACGTCAAGCATATCGATGCCGCCCAGGTAATTGGTGTTCAGTTTTTCCGCCCTCACAGTATCAATGAAAGTTTTTTTACCCTTTATATTAAAACTACCCGTGGTTTTGACTCCGTCTGCATCTATTTTCTTCAAATCCGGCGTGTGCATTTGATTATCGTCCAATATAAGATTGCCTGCAATCGTTATATTTTCAAAGTGGAAGTTCGTCTTGGCTTGAGGTTGATCGGTATTGCGCATGAATTGATTTATGTTTCTATTGTTTATCAGATTTGTTCTTAGGCTCGATGTTGTCATGCCTCGAAGAGCTTCAACATGCACATCAATGACCTGATGTTCTGCAGATTTGTTCCAATATTTCTTGAAGTCCAAATTGAAGTTTTCGTTGGATAAAATCAACTTGGTGTCATCCCATATGTCCAGGTTGCTTACGTAAAGATCACCTTTGATGTGCACTTCATCGTTATATACTTGTAGCAAATCAGACTCGTTTGTACCGATTATATGAGCTCCCTCCTTCATGTAGACATCAGCAAAGTCTCCGATGAGTTCTAATTTTTCATTAACCACGGCCTTATCGATTTTCACTATACCTTTGATTGTTGGTTTAACATTCTCCTTAAGAAACACAAAGTTATCGAAGGGCACGTCGTTGATTTTTTCCACAGTGGATTTTTGCGTGAAAATATTCTTGAATATCACCGTCGATTTCACTGTCTGATCAGTGCTGGTTGTTAAAAGATCATCAATTGGTTTGCCGTTAAGTTTTTTCAGTTTAAGTCGATCAGTCAGGAACTTGGTCAAAGTTAGGTCACCTTCAATGGTGTCAGTCTTGCCGACCCGGAAAACCGATTTACTAAATGCATCCCAATTTATTTGATCGATCTCATCCACCCATAAATTTTCGATTTCCACCATTCTATCGAAGTTATTTAGCTTGCTGTTCGCGAAGTTTGATAGAATTCCGTCGGGGACATCCTAGGCAAATATTATCACATTTAAACAAATATTGGAAATATTCCCCAACACCAGTACTATTAAAGTACTTTTCGCCAACGATTGGCATCTTCAGAAGCGAAGTGTAACTGAGTTCTGAAGATGCCAACACCTTAAGCACTTTGTGTTTTGTTTTGGTGTTGGGGAATATTTTCAATATTTGTTTAACATATCACCAAAGTCCTTACGTTATTTAGATGTTTGATTTTGGCTTCGTGAACATTCAAATTGTCGAATATTTTGACACCTTTGACCGCTTCATTGGAATTTTTGTTATAAATATCACTGATGTTTATGTCGTTTATGACATTGGATATCATTTTGTTCACTGTGAGATGTTGAAGTGCAACTGGGACATCAATAACCAGTTTTTCGTTTGAATTCTTTACAAGCATATCTAAGAAAATTTATTTAGAATAAATATTAGAAATATTCCCCAACACCAAAACAAAACACAAAGTGCTTTTTCCCAACGATGTTGGCATCTTCAGAAGCGAAGTGTAACTGTTTTGGTGTTGGGGAATATTTCTAATATTTGTTTAACATATCACCAAAGTTGATCAAGTATTCAAGACTATTAAATCTAATGAGAAAATTGCCCTCTATACCTTTAAAAATATCTGGGACTGGGTTAACATTGAGATGTTTAACAGTAAGATTATTCACTGAGAACTGTCCAGTGATGAGTTGTTCGGTATTATATTGCAACCAGTGCTCGGGACTCCACTCCAAATCGTTGACAATTCCAAAATTTACATCGTCACCTTTCAATGTATTGACTTTGATGTTTTTTATGATGGCATCGCCTTTTACAACTAAATGATTGTCCTGAACTTGGTTATAATTATCAATTGTTTCTCTCAGGAAAAGTAACTTTGATTTTAGGTTGTTCAATACGGAATCCACTTCAGTTATCTAATTTAAATAAATACAAGTACAAATTAATAAAAACAAAAATGCCGAATTTTTGAATAAATTTGTTCCATACTGTATATTAGGCTGTCCCTTATTTTTATTTTTTTACGCATACCCTCTAATTATATTTATTACGTGTTTATATACTCCCAGTAAAAATTTCAGCTCATTCTATAAACGGGAACCCGTGCCGACTTGCATCTGAACCCTCCGTTAGCCAACGTTAGGCGCGCGGTATTTTGTAACACGGTTGGTCGCGAGGTCTTCGATCGTAAGTCATTTTGTGTTTGTTATTATGTGACCCTTATATTATAAATTATTGACAAATGTTAAAATATAGTTTTATTTATGTGTATACTTTAATAAAAATGTATATTTTCACAGGGAGTGGCTAGTTACCCGGAAGGGTCTGGTGAATAGGTCGTAAACTCTGAAATTAATAAACTTAATGGGTTTTACTTTAAATAACTAAAAGAGTCTATTGTGAGAGATGACTACCGAAAACTTATTGAACTGTCTGAAATATTTTTGGGAGGACATCAAGAAAAGAAATGCTTATAAAAAGCTGAAATTTCATATAACAGTATATTTTAGCAATACTAATTATATTAATATATTTAAGGGATAAAATCAACTAAATTAGTGAAACAAATGATAGAAACAAAAGCAATAATATTAATTAGTAGGTAATCATATTTAATAAAATCATTAGAAAAATACAGTCATGAAGTATATCTTCTTTTTAAAGTGTTTCGTGTTACAAAATACCGCGCGCCTAACGTTGGCTAACGGAGGGTTTAGATGCAAGTCGGCACGGGTTCCCGTTTATAGAATGAGCTGAAATTTTTACTGGGAGTATATAAACAAGTAATAAATATAATTAGAGGGTATGCGTAAAAAAAATAAAAATAAGGTACACCGTACTGTATATCTTCAACAAACAAAACAAAAATACACCAGATGACCCCCTTGAGGAATTACTTACTATCGATTCAGGGTTGTCCCCTCTCAACTCTTGAGAAACAACATTACCAAAAGCAGCCTCACTTTGAGTTTGATTGAATGTTGGTAAACTTTCGACAAATTTGCTATTTTTTCCATAAACCTTAAAGTTCAGCGAATTTTTTAACTGCGCGAAGCAGCTTTGAATATCCGATAAACCGTCTAAAAACGAAAGCCATATCAAACTGAATAGTGTTGTTGGGCGGATTTACCTTCGGCATCAATTTGCATGCTAAGAGAAATTTTAGATAATTTGAATTGTACTGCATTATCTCGGTATATCACGAATCCATCATTTAGAATTTGATCACTAAATTGAATATAATGAACATGAGTTATATAATCCTTGTATGTTTCTTGACTAACAAATTTATTTTTATTCAAGTTTAATACTGTGATATATTTCGCACCAAAAAGTATCATATACGGAGTATTTTTGTGATTTATTATAGTGCTTGATATAACTTTGGAATCAAAGTAAAAATTCTGTAGGAGTCTAAAATAATCATCTAAAAACAAAGTGTAAAGAATCTTAATATTAAAAAAATTATTTAGGTACCTTTCCAATAATATATACTGTGATATCCAGATTGCTCAAATATAGCCAAATATTTTTTGGATTTGGTGTTATACGTAACGATGTTTACTGGGTGTTCGTTTTGAATTTTCTGCAATTTTTTTATTTGCCCGTAATTTAGCTCATAAGTTGAAACGTAATTTTGATCATCTAATGTTACTATTATTCCAGAATTATCCAGAGCTTTTATTTTTAATACAGGTTTGGTGAGAATTTTGAGAGTCTCATCGAAATATGAGCCTGAGTATTTGTAAAGTCTAAAAAATAATAATTACAGGTATAATGCATAACTTTTAATGTCAAGTACAAAACTTACATTAAATACCCATGGACTTCATCTTTCTCCAATTTTGTGGCCACCATTAAGTATAACTCATTTTGTTCTTTAAAAAATTTCACATCTGATATATTGTGGAATGATATTGATTGTAAATATTCAAAACCAAATTCTGTTGTTAAACTATACAATATCATTGTGTTATTTTTGTAGACTATACTTGCATACGCGGTGCCTTTATGTTGGTAACTCTGCATTGAATATATATTGGATAAAATATCAGCATTATTTATTGTTTTTGATTTTAAATTATCACTTTTTGGGACGCACTGTATACTATTTTTTAAAAGAATACACGTATGATTGTAGGCACTAACACTTTGTATAATATTGTTTGGTTCATTGGATAATTGTGCATTATTTTCGAATAGCACAATGAGCTTTTCATTTTCATCTACAAATAATGGTAGAATAAAATATTTTTTTTATCAACCTACTCACCCCATTTTTTAATTCTTTTATACTCTTCAGCTTCAAGAGCAATTGACTGTTTGCTTAAATACTCATCTAACTCGTGGTTAAAAGTAATGCCTTCGCAAACTGCATTGAAATAAAACACAAACAACTGAAAAAACAAAAACAATCAATATAAAAGGTTTTAACGTTATTATAGCCGTACTATTGTTATTGTTGTGACACAGTGGTGCATTTTTAAGTATTTTTCAAAATTTGATTAAACCTCCACACCGAATAGCAGACACAAACGAAGTAAAATGAACGCATGAGAGAAAAAACTCGTTTTTTTGCATCGCAAAAACTGACATGTACAGTGCGTATGCAATGAATAATGAAAATTTGAATTCCGTTCTTTTTGTTTTTTCACTGGACATGTCTACACACACTTTAAAAAGATAAAAGGAAGATTAAATTAATTAATTCCGTTTAGTTTATTTTTCATTTCGCTTTTAAAACCCAAATGAAAACATTAACAAAATTTCTTATCTAATGATGAATCGTTAGACAAATTTCGAAGCGCAATTATTTTTTCTTCAACGAAAACATTAAGTTTAACAACCTGAAAAAAGCTCTGTTTTCAACCTATTGAGGGGGACGAAATTCAATACAATTAAATTAAATTATTTTTAGTTCCGCGATATAAAAGGGACACTTATAAAAGGAAATAAAACTTACCTTAAAAGCTCAGGATCGATTTTAAACGGAAGGTAATAAAGAAACAATTTCACGGTTGTATACGTATACATTAAAACATTAAATATACATACATTAATCTTTAACATACATTAACTTGTATATGAATGAATGAATTATTTTATAGTTATATTTGAACATTTATTAAATTCAATATATTTATGGTTATTATTTTATACAGGGTGTTTGCATAGAAATAAAATATTTCATTTATATTTCATGGTTAAAATGACCTATTTTATCACGCCCTCAGTTTGCCTGGAACACCCTGTATTATACATTTATTACACAAAAATACAAATTGATTGTAGGCTTGTTTTATCAAGCAGTTCCAGGGGGAGCAATGATGTATTTTTTTTAAATAATTTTTTAACCTATTAAAAATAATTATTGTCAAATAAATATGACATATTTTTGTAGGAAATTTAACGCTCTACAAAAAAGGTCAAATGTGTTTAATTGATTACTCTAACCGTTGAGAAGATATTCGTATCGGTACGCATTGATATTCGGATACGAATATCTTCTCAACGGTTAGAGTAATCAATTAAACAAATCAGACATTTTTTGTAGAGCGTTAAATTTTCTACATAAATATGTCAAACCCATTTGACAATAATTATTTTTTAATAAGTTACAAAATTATTAAAAAAATTTTTTTTATAAATTCTTCAAACTTTGATTTTCTTTTAAATGGTTAGAGTAGGTAATCTCTTAAACATATTAGTCCTTTTTTGTAAAGCATTCAATTTTCTACAAATATGTATAAAGATTTGATTAAACAAATGATTAATATTGAAATATGGTATTTTTTATAATTTAAAAGCACCTTATAACCGTAAATATGTCTTATTCATATGGGAACATTTTAAGGTATAAAGTGGTAAAAAAAACTATTAATAAAGATTTAAAAGAAAAAAATAACTTTGAGTGAAAAATAAAACTAATATTTTTGAAAGACACCAAATAAATGTTAAAGATTTATATGAAGTAATTTTAACGTTATTTTTACGTAAATATTTAATTTTTTTTACTACGTTATTTTTTTGGTCACTTGGATGGTAATTATTTAGTAAAAATAACGTACTCAACCATTCCCCATATTTGGTAATTTTTTCGTATTTGTTCCGTTATTTTAACGTTTTTTTTACGTAAAAATAACTTAAAAATGCTGCGAATAGTCCGAGACGTAACAAGAACTGCTCGATCAAACGTGCCTTGTATTTAATGCATAAACTTTAATAATTTAATTATTTAAACAGGGTACTTAAATTGGACAAAGTAATAGAGACTGACACTTTTTTCAAATAAATCTTCTTTTGTTTTTAATCTTCGGTATTTATGAAGTTTTTTGTGTTAAATAACATTGCCGAATTTAAAAATATTTATTACGTTGTCCATTTTGAGTATAAACACCCTGTATTGTGCTGTACATTTTGTGCGAAAATAGAACATAAATTTATCTCAGCAAACAATTTAAATCACAATAGAATACTTTTGTTTAATCATTTGATTTAAATTTGTGCCTTTTTATTAACAAAAATGATTTTTCAATTCTAAATATCAATTTTGAGTTATTGCAATTTTAATATTTACAATTCTACTAATTTATTTACATAGCATAGGGTAAATTAATCAAAACATCCGAAAGGGAATGTCAAAATAACCACTTTAAAAATTAATATTTACTATGTACATGTTATTAATAATGAAATAAATACTAATCAAAAGAATCGTTGAACAATAAAAATTACTTAAAGAAAAACTGAAAATTAATGCAATTACAATTTTTGTTAATAATTGACAATATACAGGGTGGTAGAAAATTATTTATCATCTGTTAAAATGGACAGCGGTTACGAAATACCCTGTACGTGAAAAAATTCGAATTTGATTTGAGTTAATTTTCAGTTTTATCATTTTGAAACCAATCTATCACATATATACGTTTGGTCTAAGGGTAGGAGAGTTAGATGATATGATTTTTATGTTATCTTATCAATATTATACTGTAATTAATTAATACCTAAAAGTTAAACCAGTCTGATATCACACCATGTTTTTAAATTTTAACACGCAAACAGATAGACAAATATTGCCAGCACTGGCAGGCAACCAGTAAGGCTCACTTTAATTGAACATGATGGCCAATGAAACTTTTGGTTGTTAACCAACTGATTTTCATCCATGATCATGATGTTTCTGGTTGCGGATAAATGCGGGGCTATGTTTGAATTTATACCGTCCACCGAAGACACGCATCTTACCTCCAAGGAAGTCGACGGTTGAGTGCCGGTGTACTTTTTATCCAGCGGGATTCTCAGCTGCGAAATGCTCTGTTTCAGCATGATGTTGCTATTACCAGTTGTATCAGGTTGTGCCGGCTTCGAAGGCAGATCTTTTACTTGGTTTATCGGCGCCTATATTGATTGATTGAATTTTTTACACGAAGTCATTATTGTGGTAAGACTTACCATTTTATTATTGACGAACCAGGTAATCCTAGGTTTGGGGTCGCCTAAACCTGAGGTGCAAGTGGCAAGAAGCATAGATCCAGTGGTATAAGTATCGGCTAGACCGTCTATTAGTGGCGGATGTTTTGGAATTGCTGAAAGGATTATATACATTAAAAAAAAACAAGATACCACCGACAATTTAGTTTTTAAAAAAATACAAACTTATTCACAAAATTTGATATCTGTCAGAACTATCTAACCTCAATTTGAAAAAACATACAAACTTATTCACAACATTTGATATCTGTCAGAACTATATAACCTCAATTTCTACGTTTTATTTATAATTCTAACTTAAAAAGCTTCAAGGTATTATTATCTAGTTCTAGAACAAAAGTGAACATTGTTATATGTGTAATTTTCAAAACTCTACCACAAAACGTGGTTGGGCAACACAATAACTATCCAGCTACTGAACTATCTATTGATGGTTTTCGGCATCAAGACTGAGGACACGGGCAATGACAATAACGAACAAGACGAAGACCTCGACTAGGAAACTACACCCCTGCATCGAAATAACAACTCCCCAACTCCAAATAGTAATCCCAAATGTTTGGAGTAATACTAATCGACTGGTCTAGGGGGATTCCGCGTCGTACTTAGTTTTAAGTCGGCGTAATTGTCCCCCAAAAACCAACAAACGTCTATCCCTCCCGTCCCTCCTCCTCTATACCCTACTGGGCGTACAGCATCGGCTCGGCGAACCCGAGAATGGCTATTAAAACTGTTCGCATGTCGCTTTCGAGCCCCAAATAGGGGACAGTACGGAACGCAATGGACATTCGCACCCAGCAAACACAACAATCGGCGTAAGTAAACATAGGCCTGTACGGGGTCCGGGAGTGATGAGGCAATGAGGCTGGTTATACGTCTTTTACTTACTTACTCATACTTATATTCTCAACTATATAAAAAAGGAGGATGTTAATTTACTCTAAGATAGCATTAAGTAGTGAATATTATTGCAAGTGTGACAGCTACTTTTCTGTAGTGTTGAGAAAGTTTAATTTTTTTATAGGGTTAAATTTAAAATTGTACAATTTTGCTAATATATAGTTTATTATATTTTATAAAATATTAAAGTTGAGGGACAGCAAAGGTACAAGAAATTTGAAAATAACCCATATAGTGTTGGTAGGCCAAAACTTAACAAAATATAACTTCCTGGAACGATCCATACATAATATGTAATAGCAATTAAAACTTTCGAATCGTGTAAAACTCTAATTATGTCCCTTAATAATCTTAATTATAAAAAACAGTCCAATCTGCTATTTTGCCATTTCCCTTTATATAGAGAGGCAACATCCATACATAGGCTATGCTACACAAATATTTATTTGTTTTGCTAAGCCAGAAATCATGAATTAGATTAATCTGATTTCAGCTGTGCGCTCATAACTCAACACGTTACAATTATATTGATGAATTTCAAATAAATAAAATTAATCAGCTTTGGCTTTTAGTTGCGTGTGTTCTCTGAAAGGATCCAACTTTGAATAACCCATATGAAACATTTAAAATTATACTGAGCAGAGTTTGGTGCGGAAGTTCGCCGTTCAAAAGCCGGAAACACGTTTGCATATTTTTTTTAAAGATTAATTTAGTTTATAATTTAAAAGCGTGACGTTTATCGATTTAATTTATATATTTGATATTGAGGGTGTTTTTTATTAGATGCTACAGAAAACACCTAAACTTATATTGCATGTATACAGGGTGTCACCAAAAAAGTTGTTATCCTTTAAGGAAAGGTTGTTCCTGACCTATAACAACTGGCGCAAAATATGCTTACTTGATTACTTTGTTGATAATTGTTTTTGTTTGGCATACCAAGCTATTTTTAGGTACTTTAAATAAAACAATACAATAAAACTTTGATTTATTTATATCAACTGATTTAGCATATCAGTGGATATAGGTTTTTGCACGACATGGCAACGCAGTATTTTTCTTTAAAAAGTGTTGTTTTATAAAATAAATTTGGTAATTATCTTTCAACATTTATATTTTTCATATAAAGTCGATTTCTATACATTAACATTTTAAATTAGACATAAAACAATTAAAATTTCATTAAGATTTATTTGACATTTGTAACATTATGTGACATCATATAAGTCATGGTTTACTAGATTTATTTTTTGGCCAATAAAACCATCTTGAATGTAAATCGGTTGATATAATTTATATCAGTCGTTAACGATTTAAAATATGAATAAAAATAAACCATTGGCGGCCCGTGACATTTCATTTTGGTGAGGCAGAGGCAGGGTTTCGCCCTCATTTAAAGGCGAAATTTTTTTAAACCCAACTTAACAAACCAAATTCCTTAACAAACATTTTATCATCGAAAAAAAGACGACTAAATGGAAAGTTCAAAAGAAAGTCAACAATATCGGTACAATTTCTCACCGTAACATCCATAATGACTAAAATCACATAAATCACCAAGTTCAATTAACTAAACCCACAGAATAAACCACTTACAAAAGAATCATAAAATACACAAACTCATAGAAAAAGAATAAACAAAATATTGCGTAAATAACCACAAATTTGTTCTTTAAACAGTTCAGAATTTTATAACCAAAACAAACCTAAAGAAGGAATCTGTATTTATTTTATTGGTTACTGTGATGGCTACAAGATGGCGATAGTGTTAAAATATGTTTATTTTAGAATAGAAATATAATTTCGATTAAATCGATTTATTATAAGAAAAATAATACCATTTATTATTGAATTTTGAAAAACGTGTGAAGTATAATTTTTAAAATTCCGCAACAGTGTTGCCACAACACCTGCTTATTTCCTTGGATGTAGGCGTGCCTGTCTCGCGTATGCTAATACGAGAGAAGGAGACAACTATGATATCGCATTGTAATAGAACGAGACAACAAGGCTAACGCCAATCGTGAGTCTAAATTAGTTCAGGCATGCTTCTGAGCCAATCATCTAGCTATAAATATTGGTTTAAATTGCGGTCGTTTCAAATTCAAATAATTTAAATGTTGGTGGGTATTCCACGTATAAAATCAATCAATTTTATTGACTATTTCACAATTTATGTAATCCAAATAATAAAACTTTATAGTATATTATAAAAAGTAAAATATTTAAATTATACTTAATTTTTTAATTCTCTATGAGGCACTGCCTCACCTGCCTCCCCTGACGGGCCGCCACTGAAATAGACAGTATTTTTGTTTGTAAATATATATGAAAAAATAAATTCAGAAGGTAAACATACCTATAACAAAGATATAATTAAAAAATAACAGATTTTTAAAGATAAAATTACTACCATGTTAATTATATCCAATATCTTTGCTGTTTTTTTGTCTGATTGAAAAGCTGAATACTTGAAATCAATTGATTTATAACTTGCTTTAGTTTCATGTTTACTTTTTAATATAATACTTATATTATAGATAATTAAAAAAAATACTATTTAATAAAGATTTTTGCTATAAAGCAGGCAGTGTATGAAACTTTTTTTATATTTTTGGTTCAAATTGTTTTTATTATTTGCAATATTTATTTGACAAATAATTAAAAATATGCTCTGAAACAATATTTTTATTTTTAAAATAAAATACACAAGGTAAAACAATTTGGATTGCAACAATTAAATTTTAATTAATTTGCTTTATAAAATTTGTGTATATTTTTCAATATAAATTATTTAAAAAACAAAGTGTATATGGCATGCCGAATTTTTTTCATTGTGTTTAATTTAACCTTTTGGAAAATCAGGGATTCTTGCCCCATTTCCAGCAAGGGTGTAGCCAGGATTTTGTTCAGGGGGCAGGCAAGGGTAAACTATATGCATGCTACAAAAAGTTTCGAGACTCCACCTCCCACCCACTTTCTAGCACAATTTTTCTGGACATGCAATTTTTGAGTATAGCTCCCTCCTTTTGATTAAAAAAGTTTATTCTGCCATAATTTATGTGTATCAAGCATTAACTAATATTTGTTATCCTCTAGAGTTTGTTTTTTAATTTTTTTATATTCTTGTCACAAATTTTCAATCAATTTAAAAAGGTGTAATTGGTACCTGTAAAAGAATAGGTAAAAGAGCATTGCCTTTTAGAAACAGGTCTAGTATTCCTATAACTATAATATAATTAATTAATCTTTTACAAGAACAAACACTTGAATAAAATTTCCACCAATTTTCGTTTTTCATACCTTCTAATGCAAATTGAGGTACTTGTAACAAAACACATTGCAAACTGCGAACATAACCCAATTGTTGTGGTTTATATTGCCGCAATCCTCTTCAAAACCAAGTTTTTGCCAATAATAAGTTATAAATGTATTTATGTGTATATTTAATAATATATTATAAAAATGTATCACTCTTATAATGTAATAAACACATATTTAAGTAAATGTAAGATAACCTACAAATCTACTGTCATTTAAAATTTGCTTATTATTGACCTTTGACCCTTTACCATAGCCAGTGGCGTATTTAGGGGGGGGTCCGCCGGGTCCGGACCCCCCCCCGGGCGCACATATTTTATTATTTTTATTACAAAAAAAGTTCCTTTTATTTACTATTTTATCGGATCAGAAGAGTTCCTAATTTGTGATTTTTTAGTTATTAAAGCATAGCATAGTATAGTATTTAGGATTTAGCTCCGGGGGGGTCCAAAAAAACTAACTAAATATGTATACATATTTAGTTAGTTTTTTTGGACCCCCCCCCCGGAGCTAAATCCTAAATACGCCACTGACCATAGCCAATGTAAAATACTAATTTTACATTTGTTTGGTAGCAGTTATATCAAAATAATTTGCGTTATTCATGATAAACATTAATTATAATTATAATAATTAAAGTTTAGAACGAACATTATTAGCCAATTATGCCGGTTAATTAGCTGGATAAGTTGATAATAAAGTAATTTTAATTAACAAAATAAACGTTCCGGGTCGCAATCACTATATATAATAGTTTGGCAATTTTAAAGTTGCCATAACAATTAACCAACATTAAATTTCCAACGAAATCATATGTATCCATGTTAAGCAATTATTTAGGTAGAACATTATTTTAACCCCGATATTTCTATAATTGAATGTCAAAATCGTGCAAAATTTAAATTAACAGTTTAGTTACAAGCGTACCGTAGATTTTTCCTATCAAATAAACTATTGTTAATTAAAAGCAACTTTCCAGCATAAAGTTTCGATTTCACAAACAAAAGCGTTGCTTTACTAGTTAGTTAGGTATATAAAAAGAGTTTTTTCTATTTTCCAGAAAAATCTGAAAAATTAAAAGTTTGCATGCTGACGAGAAGCGAACCACGGACCTCTCTGTCCGTAGTCGGGTGTACGATACACAAATTACCGTTATGCTGATGAGCACGTTATAGCTATCTCTCTCGCACCACGTGACGTCATGTGCGAACCAACTGAGTTGGAATGTTATTTGCACTGCAAATTCGCGTTATATTCGAAAATGGTCAGGTGGCACGCTATGAAGCGTACCATTAAATTTACTTACTTTATTAGTGGAAAACTTACCTGCTACGGTGATGTTGAAGGTCTGCGAGGCAAGTCTGAAGGCGGGGGCTTCGCTGGACACCTCGCACCTGTAAGCCCCGGAACTGTAGGGCCTCTGGAGATCGATCAGCATCAATTCGCAAGTGTCGCGTGTGCAATGCGATCTGGTCGTGTCTACGGTAACGCCGGACACGGGGTATTGCACGTAGTTGTTAGGACCTGACGGCGCGTATCTGAAAAACTCGTGATCGTCCTTGTACCATTTGACTGCGTAGAGATCCTCCCCGCCCATGTCGAATTTGCAGTAAAGCTGCATCTGCTCGCGCGGGTCCTGGATCGAAGGTGCGGTCATGTTGGTCAATCGTAGGCACATCGATGGACCACCTGAAACAATTCAGGCGCCTTAGTCACGGGCTAAGTTTTGGGCATATTAGTCACGGGCTAAATCCCTTGACATTTGACATGTATAATAGTATATTAAAGAACTAATGTCATTTTGTCGCACGCGGACAATTTAATGGACGAGTGCGACAAAAGGTCTTATGACATGAGTTCTTTATGCTATTTTATCTATTTTGCAAACAATTCATAAAACAAATTAATTTTATACCTTATATTTAATTTGGTCGAATTTTACTTTACATAGTTGGTATCTCAGTTTGAAGTTTGAAAGGTCATTAACCTTTCAAACATTATCACATTCTTTCGCTATGGCGTCGTTAATTTACAATAAGTATTTACAATAAGCGGCTGTTAAAGAAGAAAAAAGGATTTTCTTTGGTGTTAAACAAAATTTATTGCACGAAAATTCTCGTAAGTACTAGAAAACAAATCATAAAAATATTATAACCTATTCAAAATTGTATTTTACCAGTAGCCACCCTATAAAATCAAAATTTTGGGTGGAATAAAGTACCTCATTAAAGAACCAAAAGCGGTGTTATAATGAAGCCATTATGAAACCAAAATAGATAAAACTTATTTTTTGGCTATACAGAGCGTTTGGACTGTTAAATGGACATCAGGGACATTATTCACAGTTGAAGTCTTCTTGACTCTGTATAGTGTTTGGCTTTGAAAATAATTTATCGAGCAATTGCTTGATGAAAAAGTAGTCCCAAACGTACGTAGCAATCTTTGAAAAGTTGAAACATTTCACGCCAACAATTTATTACCCCTGTCACTATGTAATCTAATATCAAAGTCTCTACATTCCCGTGTATCTTTTTTCTCTTCTAATCTTGAAACGTGACATTCATAAATGCTTGATCAAAATGTCATCTTAATTTTACTTTTTCAACAATAAAAACTACAGTCAAAAATTCTCGAATAAATTGATAATTTATTTCACCTTTCTGGAGGCAATTATGCTAGATTAACGACGATTCTAATACAGATCCTATCAGGACCGTATTCTATGGGTGATAAATTTTGGAAATAATCGGGTCGAGAGACATTATCCAGCAAAGGGCTTCTCCATCTAAAATATTACTTCACAATGTTAAATATTATTGCTACTCGGACTTATATTTATCCATAAACGATATTTTACACAATAAACCCATAAAAACCAATTTACACCTCAATTTATTTACATTTAAGCACATCAAACTAAAATGATTTTTTTACAAATATATTTAACATTTCAACAGGTTATAATTATATTGATTAATAATGAAATGTGGGACTAAAGAAAAAATGGAAAACTGTGATGAGGAGGATCTTCCTATTAATATAAGGGGCCCAAATTTGGTTCAAAAGTAAAAAAAATATTCGATTTTTTTTAATTACCCTAATACACTGCCCCTCAAAATTAACGCATAATAAGTAAAAAAACTCTAAAACGCCTTTACCAATCTTTATGAAATTTTGTATAAAAATACTTTAACTTATATCTCAGTTTACTTGTTCAAGGGTTTTTCGAAAAAATATCCTTAAAGTCCTTTTATTTAATAATAAAAATCGCTCGAAAAAAACTTTTATAGGGAAATTTTTTTTTAGTAAATAAAAACTATTTTGTGAAAGACCGTATTTTTGTTACTATACCCAGAAAATTTTGTAAAAATCAAACGAACAGTAACGAAAAAACAACGATTTTTTATTATTAAATAAAAGGCTTTTAAAAATATTTTCTCGAAAAACCCTCGTTAGAATTTTTTTTACTTATTATGCGTTAATTTTGACGGGCAGTGTATATATATATATATATATATATATGCGTGCAGTATCGGTAGAAACGAAAGGAACCGATAAGGTTGAAAAAATTACCGATAGAGCAGTGATTGAGTGATTTGAACTGGGCCTTATCAAATAGATTGTCATGGGTAATCAATATTTACAAGTAAATTAATGTCTGCAGCATTGAATGTAATAAATAGATTTAATGAAAATGGATATCTACCTGGACGATTGAGTGTGTAATCAATTATCTCATTATAAAATTTTCCACTTTATAAAACCGAAGCCAGGAAAATATGCAATAATCCTGCAATAAAAATTTATAGAACTGGAAAAACAATTGTGAAACCATTGTTTCAGTTAAACAGTTAAATCGGCATATCAAATGTCACAAAAAATATTGAATGAATGTGTTGTAATTAAAACCTTTTTTTCAAAGGCCCCAAGCAAAAACTATTTGCCACATTAGCCACCAATACACCAGCAAATGTTATATACTATTTAAATTTCAATTAACATTATTAAAACCAAATTTTTGTTTATAAGTTATTTTACATCAAATTTACTCAATTTCCAACTGGAGAGTTAGAGAAAATTGAAACGAAATGCAAATATTTTTAACTTTAGAATAAGTAAATCGGCATTTTTATCTCTTTGACCCTTAAAAATCCAAGAGAAACTTTTTAAGGAGCAATTTGTTTCACGGAGACCTGACAAAAGTGAAAATAATTTCACCCTGTTTGATTTTAGAATCGATATACATAATTACTTACAGGAAATACAAAGTAAAAAGGCATTTTAAATTTTTGTCAAAATATTTTGAATATCTAACGTATTTTTACTACGCTACTAAAATTTGTCCTGATGTGTTTTTTTATTATAATAAAAATATTGTTTGCTTTGTTGTAAGCAAAATGAAACTTATTAAGAATTTTGCGTTCCATTTTCCTTTTCCTTAATGCATTAGGAAGTAGGAATTTCAAAATTGGATATTAAATTTTCATTAAGCTTTAGCCAAGGCTTTTAATACTGTGCCCTGTATATTAAATTTTGCTTATTGTTTGTTAAAGTTTTGTTAAGATAGTATTTCGGTTTCAGTTATAATAGATTTCTCCAAGTATAGATTTATAAAATAAACAAAAAACGTTATGATCAAATAAACGCACAGTTAATATTAAATTTAAATTTCAGAACGGCTGCACTGCAACTCAAAGTTTGTCGGCTAATAAGCTTGGTGTCAAAAGAAATTACTGTCCCATTGAGTTATCGGTGATATCAAAGAGACCACATTTTTAAGAACTTTTGATTAACCTCTAAGCTTTGTTACAATGGAAAATAATTATTATAAAAATATATACAGGGAGAGTCATTTTACTTGAAAAAGTGATATTTTTATAGAAAAATTATTGCACTATCGTATAATTTTATTTTAAACATTTTTTCGTAAAATGCATAATAACTGAGATATTTAAAACTTTTAAGTTAAATAAATCACCCTGTATTTTTACTCGGCTGAAATCTTAAGGGGTTGTTGGCTAAATATAAAGTTTTTTCGGTTGATGTTAAAAGTGGCACTTTTAATTTAATTGCTACCCATTTATTTACATTAACATATTCGTTGAACTCAAGATAAATTTATTTTTCCCCTTTTAAGTATATATTTGGCAAACGTAAGTTTTTCGAACGCTGAATGCTCTATAAACGTGGATCAAGGTAGAGTCGTGGGAATAATTTTCTTGATCCAATTAACTACCAAATCCTTTGAGAACCATTAGCTGAACTTTTTTCCAGATACTCAACATTTAAATTCCAATTTTATCGCTTTTATTCCATCTGCATTTAATGGACTTGCAAAAATGGCGGATGCGCCGGTAGTACTATAATTATTTTTATTTGACAAATTGCAGTAATATTATTAAAAAATAAAACTTTTTTCCATTAGATTAAAAAGTTAAAAACAATTTACATTTTTTTGTTCAAGAAAATTTTTTCTTTTGTACGATCGACGGATATATATGATGAGAGAATGTTCCATCCATTATTTTTCTCAAGCTCAATAATTTGAAAATTGGGATGATAGAATTCGTTATTGAACAGCTGTGCCCTTTAAGAATCTTTCATTAGTACACTTAACGAATACACAGTTGAAGGATGAAAGCTCATTTATTCGCAGGGGTTTTATTAAATTTTTTTAGCAAGCTATAATTCCAAAATTATAACAAATATACTATGAGCTTGCATCAAAAAAAATTATAATACAAACTCACCAAATAAAAATGTTGCAAAAAGGTAGCGAATCATGTTTGCAAACATTTCACTGCCACAAAATTCACAAAAACTCACAATATTTGAAGCGTATTTTGGCGCGTAAAATAACGAAACAAACGCGTAGTGGGCGTAGCTGGGACCGAACGTTCGCAAGTGGTATCTGGATGCGATTGAAAGCAACTTCCAGGCTGAACTAACTCAACTCCAGTTTATGCCCTTTTGCGCTTACACAGTTGCGTCGCTCCGTTATGTAGACATGACGATGTAGAGTTACTACGGGACATTTTCTTATTTTACTCCAAAACTTTTTCATACCGGTGCATTTTTAATTAGGATTATCTCCAAGCTCGCAAAAAGGTTGAGGTGTTTAAGCTGTTTTCGGTTCTCAAAGCGATGCATGATTGTGTTTCGCACTTTGCCACCCAGTAACAAAAAAATAGTTCGTCATCATTTTAATCTGTCAAGATTTAAGCTTGTCACTATTGTTATATATCATCTTATTTAACTTTATAGGTCTGGATTTAGTCTTGTCTCCCTCTAAAATTGTCATTATTTAAGCTTGACAATATATGATTGACAAAGCTTGTTATTATTATTTGTCGGTCTTGATTTAAGCTTGTCACCCTCTAAGCCAGTCATTATTTAAGCTTGTCAATATAAGTTTGACATTATTTAAACTTGTCATCATATTCGTCTGTGTTTTAACTTGTTAGCATTTTTAAATGTTTCATTAATTCTTCCTAATATTATTGTATTTTGTAATCATTTTAATTTGTTTTTAAATTAGCTTGCCCCATTTTATTTGAGCTCGTCGTAAAACAGAAATTTTTAACCTTGTCATTCTTTGATCCCAATCATTTAAGTTTGTCATCATTTATGTCATTTAGTTGAAGTTAAACTTGTTAAAATAGGATTGTCATCATTTAAGCTTGCTATCATTTTAGTTCCTTATTATTTTATTCTTAATAATTTTGTCTGTGTTAATTTAGGATTTTTTAAGATTGTCAATATTATATTGACAAAATATGAGCTTGTTATTATTTTAGTTTTCTATTATTTTAGTCTTAATATATTTGTCGGTCCTAATTTAAGCTTGTCACCCTCTGAGCCCATCAATATATAAGCTTGTCAATATAAGTTTGACATTATTTTAACTTGTCATCATTTTCGTCTGTGTTTTAGCTTGTTAGCATTTTTACTTAATTAATATATTCTAAGGTTACCATTATTTTAGCTTGTTATTATTTTAGTCTGTCAACATTTTAACATCTCGTAATTTAAGCTTGTCATTATTTAAATGTGTCATTATTTCTTTCTTTTATTATTTTATTTTGCAATCATTTTAATTTGTTTTTAATTTAGCTAGTCCCAATTTATTTGAGCTCGCCGTAGATCAGGAATTTTTAAGCTTGTCATTCTTTGATCCCAATCATTTAGATTGTCCTCATTTTTTTATTAGTTAGTGTTAAACTGTTAAAATAGGATTGTCATCATTTAAGCTTGTTATCATTTTAGTTCCTTATTATTTTATTCTTAATAATTTTGTTTGTGTTAATTTAGGATTGTCACCCTCTGACCTTTTCATTTTTAAGATTGTCAATATTAAATTGACAAAATATGAGCTTGTTATTATTTTAGTTTTCTATTATTTTAGTCTTAATATATTTGTCGGTCCTAATTTAAGCTTGTCACCCTCTGAGCCCATCAATATATAAGCTTGTCAATATAAGTTTGACATTATTTTAACTTGTCATCATTTTCGTCTGTGTTTTAGCTTGTTAGCATTTTTACTTAATTAATATATTCTAAGGTTACCATTATTTTAGCTTGTTATTATTTTAGTCTGTCAACATTTTAACATCTCGTAATTTAAGCTTGTCATTATTTAAATGTGTCATTATTTCTTTCTTTTATTATTTTATTTTGCAATCATTTTAATTTGTTTTTAATTTAGCTAGTCCCAATTTATTTGAGCTCGCCGTAGATCAGGAATTTTTAAGCTTGTCATTCTTTGATCCCAATCATTTAGATTGTCCTCATTTTTTTATTAGTTAGTGTTAAACTGTTAAAATAGGATTGTCATCATTTAAGCTTGTTATCATTTTAGTTCCTTATTATTTTATTCTTAATAATTTTGTTTGTGTTAATTTAGGATTGTCACCCTCTGACCTTTTCATTTTTAAGATTGTCAATATTAAATTGACAAAATATGAGCTTGTTATTATTTTAGTTTTCTATTATTTTAGTCTTAATATATTTGTCGGTCCTAATTTAAGCTTGTCACCCTCTGAGCCCATCAATATATAAGCTTGTCAATATAAGTTTGACATTATTTAAACTTGTCATCATTTTCGTCTGTGTTTTAGCTTGTTAGCATTTTCACTTAATTAATATATTCTAAGGTTACCATTATTTTAGCTTGTTATTATTTTAGTCTGTCAACATTTTAACATCTCGTAATTTAAGCTTGTCATTATTTAAATGTGTCATTATTTCTTCCTTTTATTATTTTATTTTGTAATCATTTTAATTTGTTTTTAATTTAACTTGTCCCAATTTGTTTGGGCTCGTCGTAGATCAGGAGTTTTTAAGCTTGTCATTCTTTGATCCCAATCATTTAAGATTGTCATCATTTTTTTATTTAGTTAAAGTTAAACTTGTTAAAATAGGATTGTCATCATTTAAGCTTGTTAATTTTTTAGTTTGTAATCATTTAAGCTTGTTATCATTTTAGTTCCTTAATATTTTATTCTTAAAAAGTTTGTAGGTGTTGATTTAGGCTTGTCACCTTCGGAACTCGTCATTTTTAAGCTTGTCAATATAATATAATATTGAAAAAATATGAGGTTGTTACTATTTTAGTTTTTTAATAATTTAGTCTTAATTAATATATTTTTCGGTCTTGAATTAAGCTTGTCCCCCTCTGAGCCCGTCAATGTTTAAGCTTGTCAATATAAGTTTAAACTTGCCATCATTTTCGTCTGTGTTTTAGCTTGTTAGCATTTTTACTTAATTAATATATTCTGAAATTACCATTATTTTAGCTTGTTATTATTTAATCTGTCAACATTTTAATACCTAGTAATTTAGGCTTGTCATTATTTAAATGTGTCATTGTTTCTTCCTTTTATTATTTTATTTTGTAATCATTTTAGTTTGTTTTTAATTTAGCTTGTCTCAATTTATTTGAGCTCGTCGTAGATAAGGAATGTTTAACCTTGTTATTCCTGGATCCCAATCATTTAAGTTTGTCATCATTTTCGTCATTTAGTTGGAATTAAACTGGTTTAAACAGAATTTTTACTTAAGCTTGTTATTTTTTTAGTTGGTAATTATTTAAGCTTGTTATCATTTTAGTACCTTAATATTTTATTCTTAATATATTTGTCGGTCATGATTTAAGCTTGGCACCCTCTGAAATCGTCATTTTTAAGCTTGTCAATATTATATTGAAAAAATTAAGCTTTTTATAATAATAATAATAATAATAAACTTTATTGGAAATCCAAAAGGCTAACGACTTTCGTCTTCCTGCCCTTAAGCTTTTTATTATTTTAGTTTTCTGTTATTTTAGTCTTAATATATTTGTCGGTCTTGATTTAAGCTTGTTACCCTCTAAGCACGTCATTATTTAAGCTTGTCAATATAAGTTCGACATTATTTAATTTTGTCATCATGTTTGTCTGTGTTTTAGCTTGTTATCATTTTAACCTTATTAATTTATACTATTTTAGCTTACCATTATTTTAGTTTGTCATTATTTTAATATGTCGTAATTTAAGCTTGTCATTATTTAAATGCGTCATTATTTCTTCCTATTATTATTTTATTTTGTAATCATTTTATTTTGTTTTCAATTTAGCTTGTCCCAATTTATTTGAGCTGGTCGTAGATCAGGACATTTTAAGCTTGTCATTCTTTGATCCCAATCATTTAAGTTTGTCATAATTTTTTTCATTTAGTTAGAGTTAAACTTGTTAAAATAGGATTGTCATCATTTAAGCATGTTATCATTTTAGTTCCTTATTATTTTATTCTTAATATACTTTTCGGTCATGATTTAAGCTTGTCACCTTCTGAAATCGTCATTTTTAAGCTTGTCAACATAATATTGACAAAATATGAGCTTGTTATTAATTTAGTTTTCTATTATTTTAGTCTTAATATATTTTTCGGTCCTAATTTAAGCTTGTCACTCTCTGAGCCCATCAATATTTAAGCTTGTCAATATAAGTTTGACATTATTTAAACTTGTCATCATTTTCGTGTTTTAGCTTCTTAGCATTTTTACTTAATTAATATATTTTGAGCTTACCATTATTTAAGCTTGTCCATATTTAAACGTGTCATTATTTGTTCCTATTATTAGTTTATTTTGTAATCATTTAAGTTTATTTTTAATTTAGCTTGTCCCAATTTATTTGAGCTCTTCGTAGATCAGCTTAAGCTTGCCATTCTTTGATTATTTTAGTCATTTAGTTAAAGTTAAACTTGTCAAAATAGGATTGTCATCATTTAAGATTGTTTTTTATTTTAGTTAGTCAATCATAACATAATAATTATAGAAGATTACATTTAAAACATATACTATCTAAAACAATGACTGGCCAAAAAGATGAGAGGATAACATCTTTGGTGATTCGGTAGTTTTATATCAGCTCAAATTCTTTTGAGGGGAGTATACGGGATGATTTAAAAGTACTTAAAAAACTTCTCATTTATAATTTAATTGTTTATTTGTCGAATTTTCATTTCCATTTGCCCAATTATTCATCCTCTCGTTATTAAAATTTCACAGTTTTTAAAGGCATACATTTTTAATCGGGTACAAGGAATCCCTGGGCGGCTTAAAAATTCCAAGTTATTCGACATCTTAATATAAACAAGGGAGGACGAAAAAGGAAATAGGGAATAAAGCTTCCCTGAATTTAATGACAAAAGTAAATATTTTAGTTTTTACGGTTGGTTATTTTGTGTTAATATTTCAAATTCATTTGTCACGAAAACTTTAATTACACTAATGAAAAACCTAAATCCTTTATTTAAGCCTTCGAGGGTTAATAATAATAAAAAAATGAAAATGTACCGTCGCAAACTGAAAGCAATGAAAATAAAAATTCACAGAGTCAAATTAAAGATAAGGAGTGTTTCTCAAAGCGTTTAAAACTTAAAATCGCGAGCAGAAATATTCCATTTTGCATGTTAACA